TTCTCTTTCTTTCTTCTTCTTCTTCTCCTCCTCCTTTTTTCGCCTCTTTAGTCTACACAGAACGATTGTCGTGCCGCTGCTAGCTTGTATTATTTGCTCAGTGGCGTTTTTGTGTTTGCTCGTTTTATCGAAAGAGATATGAAGTAAAAAAAAAACAGGGAGGAAGAGAGAGAGAGCACAAAAAGGAAGAGAAAAGCGTCGAGTATATTAAGTCTGTCTCTTTCTCGCTCTTTCTTTCTCTCTCGTACGCTTTAAAGTATGTTTGCACTTACTTTTAGCAAGTGCTTTATATACTATACACAACCTTAGCGCGGCTCCCATGAATTTATATATACACATGCATCCCAACTTGCGCTGCACGGAGTAGTATACAGTGTTGCATATATACATAGACCCCCCCTGAATTCATCACGTTTTCAGCTCCTTACTTGTACAGCAGCGAATACATATATGTAGGACGTATACCTATAGATGCTATACTGCTAGGCGCGTGCGGGGTGCTGCAAACTCGCTTGTCTGCCACTTCCTACAGGCATGAGTTATTTATGATGTTCCGGGCGACGACGACGACGACGGTGGCGGCAAGTAAACTCATCTTAGAAACGTACCTCGTGATAATTTCGCTAAAGATTAGAGACACGCAGAGATGCAGCGGCAGCGACGGTGAAAGCAGTAGCAGCGCGAAAAAAGTCACAGTAGTATACGCGCGCGAAGAAGAAATTCCTTGAGAGCTGCTAGAGAGCTTTCGTCGATTGCCACTCTTAAGATGCGAGCGCAGAGCGCGTAAAAAGGTATAAACCTGCGAGAGCGAGAGAGAGAGAGAGAAAGCGAAAAAAACTCTGGAGTGAGAGAGAGAGAGAGAGAGAGAGAGTGCGAGCGGATAATCTGGCGCGTGCCGAGGCAAAAATCCGGCTACACGACTCGTTTTTTCGGATAAGGGATTTAAGCGCTGCGCTGGCACACGTGTGTGCACCAGCTCACCCGGCGGCAATATAATATATAATGCGCCCAAGAGTATACTACCGAAAAATTATCCTATTCCTCCTATATAATGTTACATTAGCGCGTCATTGTCAGCATTTGTTTTTTCAAGCTCTTGTGATTAAATGAGTTAAAACATTTTCTTTAGCAGCGCAAGCTCGCCGCGCCAGCTCTTTCTTCCTCACATTTTTTTCATCAAGACTCGACTCTTTTTCAATGTATAGGGCCTTGGGCAAATCGACGCGAGAGAGAAAGAAAAAGCTGTACACGAGTTTTAGAAAAAGGTCTTTTCCAATTAGTACCAAAGAGAGAGAGAGTGAGTTAACTTCCTTCGAGACCATTGAACTTTACTCGAGGTACAGTTGCGCGCGCGCGCGCGAGCAGAGCTCTCATCTATTTTTTTATACGCTTGCAACAACAACAAAAAAAAAGGAAAAGAAGCAACTGCAAATTTTTCGAAAAAATAAAAGAGATCGTCGACGTTCGCGGATGAAGAGGCAGTCAGGCAGACAGGCAGGCAGTAAAAAACTTATGTGTAATCCCTCGTGTTGATTATCCACATTTTTGCCAGAGCTCAGAGTTGATTATTCATCGCTCGCTGCTGCGTGCTCTCTGCCCATGAGGGAGAGAGAGAGGATAGAGAGATAAAAAAAGCTCCTTCGGCATTCCGAGCATTTAGAGTGAGTAATTAAATTTTGCTGTAAAAAATCCCAGCTGCACCGGCCGCTGCTAACGATCGATTGGGCGGTACACATCGGGAATCGACGTTCCTTCTCCTGAGCTGATCTTCCGATGTATACGCGTGCAGTGTACGCACGCAATGAGAGGAAAAAAACAAATTGATGCCAGCCAGAGAGGAATAACACAGAGACACGATAAACATTCCTCTATACGAGCAGCAGCAGTAGCAGCTACCTTCAGGAGACACAAGCTAAAATAAATATTTAACGACTCTGCCTATATGCACACACACACACACACACACACACACACACACACAACGCAACGCAACGTCTCTTACGGCTCGGCGTTGGTTGTTGAGCTTTTCGCACACTCGACGCCGAGCTAGCTGCAGCCGTTTAAATCTCCGCACGCGCTATGTATTTATATATCTATACGCAATACTACGCGCGTATTGTATGCTTTTACACCCAGCCAAGAGAGAGAGAGAGAGAGAGACTCTATTTACTTGAGTACATAGAGTCTGCAGCCTGCAAAATTCTCTCTCCCTCCCGCTGTCGGACACAATAAATACGCGAAGCTGTGCGTTGTTGCGGGCATGTCGCGTGCGATTCCGTACAATAATAATATTATATGTAATAATATATAAAATCAGGGGGTTGCGGGCGCTGAGGGGATGAAACATTTTTTTAACGCACTTTTTATTTTTTGGATAACAACGTACGCGTCCCGGTTGGGGTATTAAAAATTTTGCACAAAGGCGCTTATTGTTCAGGCGTCTGTAAAATCCATTTTTATATAATAATCATAATAATAATGGGAGGTTCGGAGGTGTTATTTTGCTTGAATGAGTACGCTTATATATAGTTAGTATATACGTTGCTGTGCCAGCTAGCAGCAGCTCGTTTATACACGGTAAAACGGCGCGCACTGCTGCTGCTCCATCGGTATATAGCTTTTGACGCTCGACACACTTGAACAAAGAGTCCAAAATGCCAGTTTAATTTCATCCTCTTTCTCTGTGCTACATGCGCGCGAGCCTTTTGCCAGTCCTTGAAGTGTGCGTGCAGACACACACACACACAGAGTTATGGTGCGTACACGAATATGAGTTTGATTTTTTAGCATACATCGTTCGCGCTAAAATGTTTTCTAAATTACCTATATCTATAACGTACACGCATTCGGGAAGAGAAGAAAAGAAAAAAAAACGTATCTATCGCGCATAGCCAGCCAGTCCCGAGAATCGAGAGATAGCCATGCAAGCGCTACAAAAAGTCGCTTTCAACCTTATTATACGACGTAATTGATCGTCTCGTTATGTGCGTTATATACACAGCGAGTAGTAGTAGTAGTAGTGCTTGTGTATACCGTGGGCTTCGACGCTCGAGTAATTAAACGCTTTTAATTACTTCATCGTTCTTTCATATGCTCTCTCTTTCTCTCTCTCTCTCTCTCTCTGTCTCTCGGCCTCGTGGCGATACGGCGCGCACGACTATATTTGTACATTGCTTACTTTTTTGTGCACTGCAGCTCCCATGCCCGTACGAAGCCCACGTGTTTCATTTGAAAATTTCCCAACTATATACTGCACACTCGCAAGGCGCCGTTATTAGATAGAATACGCGAGCCAGGGGGGAAAACAATGTTTTTATGTTTGCGAATAATAAAAACTTTGCGTCCAATGGAGCTAAAAAAATTGCCACGCTCCGCGAGCGCTGTACGTAAATGCTGCTATCCGCAGGGGTTGCGGAGATATACAACGCGATCATCGTCGTCGCTCAAATGAGAGAAACAATATGACAGAGTAGCTATAGATACGTACGCTCAGTCAAACGGATAAAAACAGCCGCAGAGCCGCACGACGTGCTTGCGTAATAATCAATACACAAAGGCGCGCGCAATTAAAAGCTCAGCAACCGTAACGCGCGGCAGCATAGTGAATCCCAGGCAGCAGCGTGTTGTTTCGCGCATAAGCTTCATCATCCCCTTCCCCTTCCTCGCGCTATTATGACGATTGTCCTCTATATCCGTCACACAGAGCACATAATGGGCTCGCTGCTGCTGCTGCTGCTCGGCGCGGAAAGCTTCATTGCGATTTGTGCACGGGGGTATGGCGAGGGAAAATAACCCACCGACGACGACGACGACGACGAGCTTGCGCACATAGACGTGCAGCCAGCAGCAGCAGTGGAGCAGCAGCAGCGGTGGAGGCAGTAAAGCGGAAGCCGCGTAACTTTTGACACTCGGTTGATAATCTGCTTTTACTAAATGTTGAAAGCTCATAATTATGTGTATATACTTTTGCCCAATTAGGATGCAACGTACAACCCGATGTTCTTTATTGTTTGCGCGTGCCGTCGAAAAATTCACGCTATCCAGCTGGATTGTCAAGGCCAGCGGGCGAGGATATAACTATAAATAAGCTCGTGAAATACGTACAGATGCAGGATAAACATACGAATTAACAAAAAAAAAAGCTGAATAAATGTTTTTTTTTTTTTTTGAGCGCAAAAATGCATTATTATTCCCTACTTACTGATACGTTTACTCGATGATTCGTGCATTTACTGTTATACTGTCTAGTTTACAGAGCAATTTTTTATTATTTCGACCGAGCGAATATTTTGGAATTTCCCACGATTTCGCCGGGATGAAAAAATAAATAAAAATATTTCCTTTTTTATTCCGCGAACCTGTATTATATATACCATCCAACAACGTGTTATTTTTTGTCCGACAAAAACGTTCATTTCGACGTTTTTCGGGCCAGCAGCGGCACGCGACGATCCATATACGCACTACGCGAGGTGAACGTGCCCTTGATTATTCAGCATATATTTGCTTTTGACGCTCGCGAGCCTCGATTCGATGTATCTCGCGCGTGGTGCACGCCGTTATATGCGGGTGGATTCTTGATTACCTATAATGCTCGACGCGCCGAGTGCGTATATAATATATGGGAGCTGCGCTGCAACAACGTTTCGCGCGGCTATTTTTATTATACGCGCGTGCATATTGTGTATATTCCCCCGGGTCCGGTGTGCACTATACATACAATTTTTGCGGTTTCGTTTTAATGATGCGATGCTTGTCGGCCCCTTGGGGGAAAAGCTGCGAAACGATGAATCATCGTCAAGTACATATGCGTTTGGAAAAGAGGTATTGATGAAAATATACGAACGACTAAAAATGGTCGGTTTTTTTTTGGAAACGTCGACAATAGATTTCGTTGCGGAAGCCACGATATATATAATAACAACGTCGACGATGGAATCGAATCATGGGAATACATGGGAATTTAAAAGGCGTCAACAACGCGTGTGTATACACACGGAAATAGCTCTCAAAGTAAATATAACGTTAAATCGCCGCGGCTCGTGTGCCGCACGCAAATATAAGAAAACCGTGCCTCGCAGCTCGTCAGTATACCACGTCGACTCGGCAAGTATATATATATTCGCACGAAGATCAGCGAGAAAATTGCGCGTGTAACATCATGTCCTACCCTTGCTCGTATTACCATCCGTGGCGCACCCAGCACGAGGTGCAGACGCTGCACCGCTGGCTCAAGGTGGACCACCTGGTCAAGCTGCTAGTCGAGGCGCGCCAGATCGACTTCTACCAGCACCCCGAGCGCAAGAAGATCCTCGGCAAGCTGCGCGACCTGAACGGCGATCGGCGATTCGAACGCGAGGTGCGCTTCCCCCAGACGTATCTGGTGAACGCGACGGAGGGCAAGTGCGCCGACCTGCTCGATCAGATGCGCGAGGCGCTGCAGCACAACGACCCGCGCCACTCCAGGCCGGCCTACACGCAGTCGGTCAAGGCGCTGCTGGAGATACTGTCGTCGCTGGGCAAGGAGGACTTCGATCCCGAGGCGCACAACATCCACGACAGGGCCAGCTTCGAGAAGAAGTACTCGATGACTTGGGAAGTTCCTAAAACACCTATTTTTCTTAAAATGTCTCCTTCTCCTAAAGTAGATGCTGCTTCGTAATACATTTATGATTATTGTATATTATTGTACATTAAATTTCGTCGCTGTAAGTTTTTGAATAGTTGATGAAGTATATTCGATCAAATAAACTTTATCATCAAATTTAACGAACGTTTTGAATTATTGTTTCTTGGGGGGCTGAAAAAAATTTCCCTACTCTTGCCAGCCGATAAATACTACATAATATACATACTTACTCGAAGAGAAAAGCACATCTGAATGACGGTCACGCTTCTGAGCTCGTGTTGTGTCGAAGTCACTTTCTGCTGCCGGCTTTTGTTTATTTCGCAAGTGTGATGCACGAGTGAAATTTCACAGTACAGCGATCGGTATCACAATTATCAAATTCAAGTAGGAGTTGTTCGAAGTAACGTTCGTCGCAGTAACTTCATTTTAAAGTGCAATTGCGTTACAATAATTTGACACGTAAGCACGTGTAATATGTTTTCGTACGCAAACGATTCGAGCCCCTAACCTATGCGATATTTCTTCTAATTGCAGTCATGGTAAATATATACTCACAGAATACGTAAAAAGGAGTGTACCAAGACTTTCATTCTATTGGTTCCAGAATCAAGCAAACGTAAGAATATCATGTTTATTATAAGATAATTTCAAGGATCTAACCTCTCTTTTCGATCTTTCATTTTTCACAGCCATTGTACGTCGTGCTCAAAAACCCGTGTGTAGGGAAAGCGATACTTGAGGCTTACGAAATACATTGTTTTCTCCAACAACAAAAAACACAATAAATAAACTGTCGAGGCTCATTATCAGTAACATACAAAATATAACATAACACAAATTCTCTGACGTATGTGATATACAAAAATAAGAAAACTATCTTGTAGCTCGTTTACGAACGTTTACGAATTGTTGTGTCGGCGTATGAAGTAAACTTGACGAATATTTGCACGAAGATTACTGAAAAAAACAAGTTTTATCGTCGGCACTATTATCATATTATATCGACAATATGAGCGGCTCTCGCTACGAGCCGTGGCACGCGCGGCACAGGGTGCAGTCGCTCCACCTCTGGTGCAATCCGGAGCACCTCGTGCAGCGTCTGGTCAAAGCACGCACGATAAATTTCTACATCAAACAGGAGCGTCGATCGGTCTACTTGAGCCTGGGATGCGTGACATTCGATGTGAATAAGCGCTTCCCCGACCGCACAACGCTGGTCAACACGTCCGAGGGTCGCTGCGCCGAGCTGCTCGACCAGATTCACCACTCTCTAAATGTCGTCGACGCTCTACTGGAGGACTACGCGATCGCGCATCAAGCTGCGAAGGAGTACATGCAAGCGGTGCACAGTCTGTTGAGTATACTGTCGTCGTTGGGCAACAAGGATTTCGATCCCGAGGCGTACAACATCCACGACAGGGCCAGCTTCGAGAAGAAGTACTCGTTGACCTGGGTAGAGAAACCGCCGACCACGCCAGTCGAGCCCAATTTAAGTTTAAACTGGTAGTCGAATCATTGTATGACCTTTAATGAAGTAAAATTTCGCTTTGTTACACATTCATAATTATTGTTATTACATTATTATTAAATTTCGTCGTTATAAAGTTGCGCAATTTTTGGATAGTTGATGAAGTAAATGACGTTAAATAAATTCATCAAATTTCCTCGAAAGTTTGAAATTATTTTTTTTTACCCTGTATTTTATATCCTGCCCGATCGTGCTTACGAGATCGGTGGAAAATTCGGGGGGTAGGAGGGTTTAAAAAAAAATAATTGCACTGCTCTTGCCAGGCGATAAATACTATCACACGCATACCTATATATCGATAATGTTCATCTCTCTGCGTACGCTACGTTGCGCGCGGCGCAGAGGGCAGCGAGAGGAGAGGCAGAGAGAGCAATTGTTCCATCGGTGACATATCCCACCACGAATATAATTCATTTTCCGTCGAGAGCCAATTATTCGAATCTAATTTAAACTCTGCGCAGGGCAGGGCAGGGCTGGCCAGCAGAGCCATGGTAGGAGAAAGATAGAGAGCGAGAGATATAGAGCTCTGCGTGGAGGATGGCGACTTTGGCCAGTACCTACCTACCTACCTCGCGATGCTTCATACCTAATATAAAGTCATTAATTCACACGGTCCGAAGGAGGAGGCTACAGAGCCAGGGAGTGAGAGGAAGGGATGTGAACTTTACGTGCGCACGGCAGTTCACAGTCAATATAAACTTTATTATAAAGCTTGTCCGTTGCTCTCTCTCGCTCTGCAGCACGTAGCTGCAGCGTCGTCGTCGTACTTGGCTAATTTTATCACGCTTTGCGCGAGCTGCGAGCGTAAATACTGTCTTGTGTGTCAACTTGATGCCGTGCGGCATCGCACACGTATACACAATAATAATTTATACACACACACAGAAATCTTGAACATATTTCAGGATATACGCGTCTAAATTTGGCATACATTTATAATACGCTGTATTCTTTTTTCATGCGAACTTCGTCGCTACACCAGGTGCGATATTCACCGAGGACCAGAAGGACAGCCCGTCGGAGCTGGCGTTCAAATACGCCGTCTACAAAATCAACAAGGAGAGAATGATATTGCCCAACACCACTGTGGTATACGATATCCAGTACGTGCCTAAAGACGATTCGTTTCGAACGTCGAAAAAAGGTTGGTTGCCTCTTGCTTCTTTTACTCAACCGAGACACCCACACGTCGTTTATGCACTTATGATCGCTACCTGTGTGTACCCTCCCTATGCTAGGCTGCTACATAAAAAAGCGAAAAAAAAATTGAGAAGGGAAAGAGCCGAGTTCAACGCTCGGGCTTCGCTGTATACACACGTGTGTGGCGCGCCTAAAAGGCCCAAGATAAAGCATGCACGGGCTCTCGAACGCGCGGGTCTATTTCAATCTGATAATGCCCTTCTTTCTCTCCGCGCGCTCTCTTCTATGTATACCTCCGGCTCCTCGTCGCTGCAGCTGTATTTATACATTGTACAACCTCGGGAGGGGGCGAGCTGCTGAAATAAGGTTAAAATTGCAGTTTCGCGCTAGACAATACTATAAGCTAGCTATAGCTAGCTACAGCAGCAGTAGCTCTTCAACTGAAATACCATTACTTTCACGAAAGGGGGGAGAGGGTGGAGCGCGGGTCGTGACTTTCAACATTTTCCAGACGCGCGAGAGAGAGAGCAAATTTAATGTAATGCCGACGTAAAATTAAAGAAATTTAATCTCATAGACGAAGAGAACGAGAGCGAGAGTTTGTGAATCGAGCAAAAAAAAATAAAAGTAGAAAAAGAAAACGAAAGAACGAAAATCGGGACTTTTTCAAAGTCGAAACATTATTATTCGAGCTTGCGCGAGCTCAGTACTGACGCGATCGCCGGAGAAAACGATCTCGCGCTGAGGTACCCCCCAGGGAAAACTTTACCGTCGTCGGTGCGCGCACCGACTCTGGTACATACCCAACGCAACATCAATTCTTTCTTTTCTCTCTCTTTTTTCGATCGATTGCTCTTTGTCTCTTTCTCTCGGATTTCGGCAGCGAGAGATCTATTCAAAGCCAAAGTAAAGAAGAGAAAAAAGTAAAATGTTTTTACTTCTGTTGTTGCAGCTTGCAAGCAGCTGTCGCGCTCGGTCCAGGCCATCTTCGGGCCGACGGACTCGCTGCTCGGGCCGCACATCCAGAGCATCTGCGAGGCCCTGGACGTGCCGCACATCGAGGCCCGCCTCGACTTCGAGCCGAGCTTCAAGGAGTTCAGTATTAATCTTTATCCCGCCCAGGATCATCTCAATCGAGCTTTCAAGGACCTTATGACTTTTTTGAACTGGACCAAGGTTGCCATTATTTACGAGGAGGATTTTGGTGAGTCGCCTATTATACAGCGCCTGACGATCGATCCAACTCCGTACACGGAAGCGCGGCGGATCGCTGATTTTCGCGCGCTACAGCTACTACGCGCGGTCGGAGCTCCGTATAGCCATCTCCGTAAGATTATTATGGTTATACGCGGCCGCGAAGGAAAACAATAAACGGATAAGATTGAACGAAAACGGAAGTGACGCGCGGGAGGACGAGTTCGTACAACTTGGCTCGTTTCAACTTTTCTTTTATCCGCAGAGAGAGAGCTGCTAGATGTACCCTCTGGGTCCCGTCCTCGCTATTCATTCCATCTATCATCCCTCGGCTATGTGCGCTACGTCGATGCGCGTCCCAGGCTCTTAAAAAGATCATGGTTTTCTTTGTCATTTTCTTCCGCGCGCGACAATCTACTTCCCCCGATAGAATAATACATTATCTTATACATCTCTTCTTCGGGACGAATGTTCAGCTCTAGCTCTTCTCATCGTATTTATCATCTTTTCTCGTCAATTTGACGCAGGTTTGTTCAAACTGCAAGACTTAGTGAAATCGCCGCCTTCGCCGAAAACGGAGATGTTCATTCGCCAGGCTGGTCCCGGCACCTATAGACAAGTACTAAAGGAGATTCGTCACAAGGAGATTTACAAACTAATCATCGACACCGATCCTAGATTTATGCAACAATTCTTTAGAGCGGCAAGTTGATAATATAATAATTATTTTTGTTGCAATGTCGTTGAATAATCGTTTTTGTCCCCTCCGCAGATATTACAATTACAAATGAACGATTACCGATACCACTACATGTTCACGACTTTCGTGAGTATTTGATTATATTGTGATCCAATAGAATAAGTAATTAATTAATTGTCATCGCGCAGGACTTGGAAACGTTCGACTTGGAGGACTTCAAGTACAACAGTGTAAATATGACGGCGTTTCGACTGGTCGACTCGGAGGCGCCCACGGTGATCGAGGCGTTGCGCCACATGGAACGATTCCAGCCGGTCGGCCACTCGATACTCAACAAATCCGGCATCATCCAAGTACGTGCGAAGATCCATGACATTTATATCAATTACAATAACTCGAAAAAGTAAAATGTTCACTTCCTCTCTCGATTCATGCACAGGCTGAGCCAGCCCTCATGTACGACAGCGTGGCGGTGTTCGTGCACGGCCTCGCCGCATTGGATCGCAGTCACGTGCTACGACCCGCCAATCTGTCCTGCGAGCGCGAGGAGCCCTGGGACGACGGTCTATCGCTTTACAATTACATCAATTCCGTAAGTATATACCGTATGTATAGTACTCGCAGTAACCCAAGTACCTGTACCGCTGCAGTTGTCGATTATAATATTGGCCACCCACCTGCCCGTCCGTCCGTCGTCATCATCGTCTATGTACACGCATTTCTGTACTAGCACACTACTACGAGTACGTTTATATATACGAGGGGCGCGCCAAGTTAATTTGTCGCCGCGCCGCGCCCAACTCCTAATGACGAAATGCGCCATTTGCATAACAATGCCACACAACGACTACTACGACGACTGTCTCTGGCCCTGTATATATGTATCTCGAATATGTGTGCCACAATTAATGACAAACTCCCGCGCGCGTGCAGATACACGTGCTTAACGAAGCCTCTTTGCGGGATACGGTTGCGCCGTCATTACTTCGATGCAGCTTCGCGAATCGTCGTTACATTTTCAATTGCAGCTGGCGCTGTAACTTGAAGTGCAAGCCACCGCCGCAGCAGCCCGCAAATACATATAACCCAGCGGTAAATCGAGGCACATATAATATATATCGATAATGTGTCTGCGCGCGCCTACATATTATTTACTTCACGCGGGTGTATCACGTGCTACTTTTAACGATCGAGATTTTCGTACGTAAATTACATACATTAGTTACAACAAAAATGAAGAGAGAAGAAGTTGCCACCGAAGGACACACCACGCGCGGCGCGCGCAAAACTAAATTAGCCGAGCTCGTCGCGTGTACCATGCAAAGCTCACGTGAAAATTCCCGCAGCAGCAGCAGCAGCTACGCGTATAATCAAGAGCACGGCTGTGCGACGTTCATTATATGCTAGCCATATAAACGCGTACGCGTATAAGTGTCTCGCTAGCTCGCTAGTCCGAAAAAAATGAAAAAAAAAATAAATAAAAGAATAAAAAAGAAAGAAATATGTTTCAACTCGCATGTCAACGCTTGGGCCGGTGTGTGTGTATAACGCGTACGCGAGTTCTTAAAAATCTTTTGCATCTCTTTAGCAATTTAATTTCGAGGAGAGTGAGAACGCCAGTCGTGCGTGGATTCCACCACGCGTGCTCCGCGCTATATATGACCTCTGAATGCTGCCGCTGCTGCTACACGTGTATTAATATACATGCATAATTTTTCATTTGCATACATTAACGCACCGAATATGTACGCGCGCGGGCTAAAGCTCGTCGCTCGCGTAGAGTAGTATATTTTGGCTCTTGCGCGTTTACTACTACTACCACCGCTACGGAGGTAGGCGGGCAGCGACGCTACACTATGATTCAAAGATATATTCCGTTGATTTACTTATGTGAAAAAAGAAACGAAAGAAAGAGAAAGGACATAGCGTCGCGCAAATAGAGTTTAAAATCGAATAATATGGCCTTTTGCGCGATCGTCGTCGCAAGCTCTGCTACGTGACATTGCGGTGGTGGATTAGAAAAAGTGCCACCTCTACGCAAGCTCTCATTCGCCACTCGGGTTATAATTCTAAAACAACTGTGAGATCGTTTGCTAATTTTTAAGAAATTTAGAAAACTTTCTTGGGTTTAAATTAAATTAATAAAAGGCTCCACGTTGGTTTTTTTAGATAAAATATGTTTTTATTATCGATCGTGTCTCATGCATAAAAAATAATCCGTCTCTCAGCCAATTTTTCAATATATTTCCCTAGCTCATGTTCGATAAATTCAGGGTTGCTTATCATTAAAAGCTCATCAAGAGCTAAGGCAAGCAAGTAGCCGAAAAAGGTTCGAGTAATACACAATCATTTCAATTTTTTTTTTTTTAATTTTAAAAACACATCTTTATAAGTATCTATATACTTATTTACAATTGTTAATCATCATTTCTTCTCCCATTTGTCTCAAGCTAAATCCTTACTACCTTCATGGACTACTTTTTGGTGCTTAAGCAAATTCACTTTTTGTCCAAATTCTTTCTCGCACTTGTCGCATGCATAATCTTTGCAACCATCGTGTACTGTCTTTTGATGGAGAAGCAAATACTGCTTGGATGCAAATTTTTTTTCGCACTTGTCACATGAGTAATCTTTCCGACCTTCGTGGACTGTCTTTTGATGTCTAATCAATTTTGATTTTTCTCCAAATTGTTGCTGGCACGGTTCACATGGGTAATCTTTTCGTCCTTCATGGACTATACTTTGGTGCCGAAACAAATGTGATTTTTTTTTAAATATTTGCTCACACTTGACGCATGCATAATCTTTGCGACCATCGTGTACTGTCTTTTGATGGAGAAGCAAATACTGCTTGGATGCAAATTTTTTTTCGCACTTGTCACATGAGTAATCTTTCCGACCTTCGTGGACTGCCTTTTGATGCCCAAGCAAATTTGATTTTCGCCCAAATTTTTTTTTACATCTGTCACATGCGAAATCTTTGCGACCTTCATGTATTGTTTTTTGGTGCAAAAGCAAATTCGATTTTTGTCCGAATTTTATTTCGCACTTGTCACATGTGAAATTCTTCTGATCTTCGTGAACGGTCTTTTGGTGTCTGATCAATTGCCATTTTAGTCCAAATTTTTTTTCACATTTGTCACATGTGTAATCCTTGCGACCTTCGTGTACTATCTTCTGGTGTTTTATTAAATTACTTCTAACCCCAAACTTTTTGTCGCATTTGTCACATGCATAATCTATGCGACCTTCGTGTACTGTCTTTTGGTGGCAGAGTAAATGGTTTTTTTGTCCAAATTTTTTCTCGCACCTGTCGCATGTAAAATCTTTCTGACCTTCATGTACTGTCCTCAGGTGGAAAAGCAAGTGATGTTTGTATCCGAATTCCTTCTTACATTTTTCGCATGTGTAATCTTTCCGACCTTCGTGTACTGTTTTTATGTGCACAAGCAAATGCGATTTGTATCCAAATTTCTTATCGCACTTTTCGCATGTGAAATCTTTATGACCTTCATGTACTGTCCTTTGGTGGAAAATCAAGTGATGTTTGTATCCGAATTCCTTCTCACATTCATCGCATACGAAATCTTTCCGACCTTGGTGGACCGCTTTTTGGTGGTAGAGCAAACATGCTCTATGTGTAAATTTCTTCTCACAATTGTCACATGCATAATCTTTGCAACTTCCCTGTGCTGTGTTTTGATGCCAAGTTAGACTCGATTTTTGTCCAAACATCTTCTCACATTTGTCACATACATGATCTTTACGACCCTCGTGGATTGTTTTCATATGCACGAGCAAATTTTGTCTTTTTCCGAATCTCTTGGCGCACTTTTCACATAAGTAATCTTTTAAAACGTCATGGAATATTTTTTTGTGCTTAAGTAAAGTCAATTTATTTTCAAATTTCCTCTCGCACTTGTTGCATGAGTAATCTTCACGATTTTTGTGTACTGATATTTGATGTCTACTCAAATGACTTCGGAATGCAAATTTCTTATTGCACTTGTCACATGCAAAGTCTTTTGGTTCATTGTGAATTTCATCTCGGTGTGTTATCATGCTTGATTTTAGTGTAAATGCCACCTGGCAATTTTTGTCGTCTGAAACGGCAATGTCGTGTTCACTTGAATTATTTTTCGAGACATTTGCTTCAGATTTCTTCTCACTTTTATCCATTTTGGTGTATGAATTTAGCAATAGTTCCATCTATTTAGTACCACGAAAATTGAATCAGTAAAATTTATCTTTTGGTATTAATATTTGTTTCATCGAGAAAGACAACATTCAAACCAATTTATTTTTACTATAAACATGATCAGTGTGTCGAAAGAATGTGTCGAGATCGTTATAATGAGCTTATTGTTTACAAAGTACCGATTTATCTGTTTATACATTATCCTTACAATATACTACTTAAAACAATTTAAAATTCTCATTCAGTGACGATTTTTTCGAGGAATTGTATGGTCTCCTAAAACTAATGATTTCCAAGAAAAACTCCTTACAGACAACATCAAATTCACAAAAAACAAAATAAATTAAATAGATCCTTATACACGCGAATGATAAAAAATTTTAATATTCATTCCATAACCCGCCCCTGTGCGTGCCATGTAAGTACACCCATGTAATTTTTTCTGCTACCCCAGGCCGACCTGCACGGCCTGACCGGCCACATCGAGTTCAACGAGGGCAAGCGCACCAACTTCAAATTGGACCTGCTCAAGCTGAAGAAGGAGGAGCTGGTGAAGGTCGGCGAGTGGAAGCTGGGCAGCGGCGTCAACATATCCGACGTCGGCGCCTTCTACGAGACCAGCGCCACCAACATCACCCTCGTCGTAATGACCAGAGAGGTAATATAGCTTATGCGAACGAATGGCCTATAAGTCAGGTTACACAGGGGGGAGAGTCGCTGGGCCTGCACGAGCAGCTGCGTATATCTGCAGCGCCGCCCTTAATTGCCGCTCTTACATCTTGCGCCGCGGCATTTATTCGCCGGTCTTATCTCGTCGAGCGCGTTTTAATTGCCGGGCACCGACGGTATCCTCGCAATCGTTACCTTTAGAAAGAAAATATTATTTTTTGTACGGACGAAAAATCCAAAAATTAATTCGCCATGGCTCGCTCGATCGCTCTGCAAGTGCACACACACCCAAAATGACTCAATTTACACGTCTGTGTAATGCGGAAATTACTTTTACACGTCGAGACCCGAGGGACTACTGCAGGCGCAGGGCGTCGGGATAGTGATTTTGGCGAATAAACGACTCTTAAAACTGCTCTATATATACGCGAGGCAGCGTACATCTCAAGGGTGCATTCGGTGTTATACGTACGTACCTCTGCACACAAGCACACGAATACACACTTAGACAGAGTCGTGAGCGAGCGAGCGCGTCGAGGGCAAATTTATTTATTCAAACTCGAGCTCTTAAACCCCGTCGTACCTTATAACCGAATGTACTCGCGCGCGAGCGCTGCGCCGCGTTCATATGCATTTTATTATTCTCCCTCTCGAGACGCATCTCTCGCATTTACTTAACTTTTTTTTTTCTTATCATCACTATATATATTCCGTATATTACAGGAAAAGCCGTACGTGATGGTGAAGGAGGACAAAAATCTGACGGGCAACGCGCGATTCGAGGGCTTCTGCATCGACCTGCTCAAGTGGATAGCCGGCCAGGTGGGCTTTCAGTACGCCATCAGGCTGGTGCCCGATCACATGTACGGCGTCTACGACCCCGAGACCAAGGAGTGGAACGGCATCGTGCGCGAGCTCATGGAAAAAGTAAGCTGCAGCGGCAATTATCGCTCCCCCGCCCACGACAACGTGCAGCAGAGGAGTATATTTAGATTCGTCGTGCGCGGCGCTAAATTAAAATTGAATAATTCATGACTAGAAGTGATATGTAGAGAGATAGATAGACAGATAGAGATCCGGGACTTGGAAAAAAACATTACGTGAGCCGCGAGGCAAGAAAAAATATCTATACATTTCATATTCAATATGAAAAAAAGGTAGATCTCGGTGCGCGGCGCGATGTACGCGTGTAACAATTCATCGGGTCGAGATCTTCTTCTTCTTCTTCTTCTCTCGACGCAAAGACGCACCGCGAAGCTTTTTTTCCGCGCCCAAGCGTGACGCCGAGATATAGATATCTGTTTAAATTCAAAATCACAATATATATAATACGTATATATTTCTCTCGGTACAGATTTTGTCGTTTTCATACTTTTCCAAAGCTCCGCGCAGTGCAGAGGTTCCGTGCATGAAAAATATGTTTTTCAAATACATATAAATCGTACAAATGTATTCGATACATTTTTTATTTCATTCGACCTGTACGAAGGGGAATGAATTAATAATAACGAGGCCGGCTTGGGACTAGTAGGAAGAAAAGTTTTGTAAAGTATTTTATTAATTTTTATTCGCGCGCGCGCGCATAAACGACTCGTGAAAAAGTTGCCGCGAATTGCCTTAAAAGGATTTTCGAGTAATCCTGCGACGACGTAATGGGGGGTAAGGGACGCGCACTATATAAGAGAAATGATTCAAAAAATTGTTCCAGGCAGTATTTGTGCCAATGATTTTATTGGGTGTAAACACGGGTAGCAGCAGCTGCTTCAGTATCAAGCGAAAGATAAGGAAGTCGGCCGTATAAAGACGCGTGTAAAGAGTGTATTATAAGTAGGTAGGTAATAAACCACGCGAGTGGATGGTTATAAGAGTTGCGAGTTAAGCAAAAAAAAAAAAAAAAAGAAGTAAAAGGGAAAGAAACGGATGCAGAAGAAAAGTACGCGCGAGGAAAAATTCTATTTGAGCGCGCGCGGCGCAGAAGAGAGTGCGAGCGAGCGCGGAGGGTATAGCGAGAGGAAAAAAAAAGCCAAGCAAAAAGCTCGCGCGAAGACAACGACTTTCTCGTTAGAAGCCGGTACGAATTGTCTCGCTCTCGCGTCTTCTCTCTCTTTTTTTACTCTCTATCCTCTCTCGTTCTCGTTCTTCGTCGTTGTCGTCGTAGTCGTTGCCTCCTTGCGCTATTTCTCGCCTAAGGCGCGCAACTATACACTTTTATCCCCGAGATATATAGAGAGTAGTATACGAGAGAGCCGAGCACGAGCTAGAGTATAAGAGAGAGAGAGAGAGTAAGAGAGATAAGCCTCGTCCACCCGCGTACCAGCGTAGGATAGTTGCTGCCTGCCTGTCTGCCTCGGCGCAGAGAGGCACAGGAAGTTCGTCAAGTGGCGTCAAGAAGTAAATCAAATTCTCTCTCTCGCCCGCCTTTAGAGTAAAGAGTGCGCCAGAGGAAAAAAAGGGGGATTTCTTTTTCTCTTTCCGATGCGCTCGGTCTAATGCATTTATTAAGGTTCGATTGAAAATACTACGCCGGCGTGTAGAGAGTAGTCGAGATTTTTTTCGTGCAGTCGTGTGCACGCGCTCGAGCGCTTGCTCGCACGTGGCAACAGCAGCAGTTGCGTTATGTACTTATCTCGTTCTTTTTTTCTCCTTTTTTTACGATGTACAGAGAGCCGATCTCGCAGTGGCATCGATGACCATCAATTATGCCCGCGAGAGCGTGATCGACTTCACGAAACCCTTCATGAACCTCGGCATAGGCATCCTCTTCAAGGTGAGTAGCGTACTCTATACATTTTCTCGATACATCCATTGTGATTACCAAAAAAAAAGCTCACGAATCCGAGAGCTTGAACCCGACACGCGAGCATGAGGCACGAGCACGAGATATATCATATACGATACGAAAATGCATGGGTGGTTGTCCACGAGAGATGCAAGCCGAGAAGCAAAAACACGAGTTGTCTATAAATGCCCACGCACAATAGGTACCGAGCAGTCAACCCACTCGGCTCTTCTCCTTCATGAATCCTCTCGCCGTGGAGATCTGGCTCTACGTCCTCGCGGCCTACATGCTGGTCAGCTTCACCCTCTTCGTGATGGCGCGCTTCAGCCCCTACGAGTGGAACAATCCCCATCCGTGTCTGGGCGAGACCGAGGTCGTCGAGAATCAGTTCACCATCAGCAACAGCTTCTGGTTCATCACCGGCACGTTTCTGCGCCAGGGCAGCGGACTCAATCCGAAGGTACAATACAGAGCGGCGAGCGGCGTGATAACTCGGACGGAAAATCGATTATTACGGAGTTACTCTCTCGACTCGTGTGTTGGGTGTTATGTGTGTGTGAACTCCCTCTCTGCTCTCTCTCAATTCGATTCTGCATTGTTGGCCCAAAAATTCAAAAAAGTATGAAAAAAAATATAGGTAACGGCGCAAGAGCCATCGCCGCTGTTCTCCTTCATGAATCCGCTCGCGGTGGAGATCTGGCTGACGATGCTCGCCGCCTATGTCTGCGTCTCCGTGACCATCTGGATCGTCGCGCGTATATCCCCCAACGAGTGGGCCGAGCCCGCGCCCTGCCCCAGCTGCAAGTGCCCTTTACAGGTAGGACCAGCTACGACGCACCCCCTCCTCGGTAAACTGATCTCGTGAATTGTGTTGCTATTGTTGTTGTTGTTGTTGTTGTTTTTTCTCTCTTCTGCAATTTTGGTTCACGATCATCGCGCTGGGTCAGGGCAGTCACGTCAGCTACTGCGACCCGGACGACGAGGACATTGTCCTGCCCCAGATGGTCAACGACTTTACCCTGGCCAACAGCTTCTGGTTCACCATCGGCACGCTGATGCAGCAGGGCAGCGATCTCAATCCCAGGGTACGTCGTACAAGCACATATTTATATCTGTTTTCCATATAATATCACACATGCCGCATATACATCATGATATATATATATACGAATATATAGCTAAACTCGATAAAGTTTCATATGTAATACCCTTTCAGAGCACCATATGTAAATATTATATGTTGTTCTAGTTTTTTTTTCTCTCTGTTCCTTTCTCTCTCTCCCTTTATTCTCTATCTTTTCTCTCTCTATGTCTCCGCAGACGGAAACTTTCGAGTCACTTTTCTTTTTTTTTACGCCTGCTGGGATGTGTTGCATGATTATAATTTTGGCGAATGAATTGTTTATTTATTATTATTAATTGTTACTGTCATGATTATTATTTACTGTAACCGCTGCATGCCGCATGATTGACACACAGATTTCTTGGCGCTTGGCGATAAAGTGTGAGCACCTCGATCGAGATGTTTGAACATAAAATATAATTGATCCCTTTTTTCATTCTCGATTTTTTTTTGCATGTAACTACTATGTTATATACTTTTCCTGCACGTGCATGATTTTCATTGCATGACGAATGCAATTTTCAAACTAGCTGTACATCCCTGAAACATACATACTTATACACATACATACTCGCACAAGGTAGAACAGAGAGTAAAAAGGCCACGCACTTTCATCGAGGCGTGAATTTACCTCGCGTCCTGTACCAGTCGGGTGATTTTTGCGCGCTTCAACGTGAATCGTCATTGTTCGACTGCGACGGTCCTTTTTCCGTCTGCGCACGAATATAATAAAATACACGGTGTAAAATAATAAACCAAAATGTAAAAGTGTCGAACGTATATTTATAACGAGAGTCATTTTTCGCATAGCGAAAATTTCAGCAGCGCGCACGCCTCGATAGCTCTCGAACAATTAAATCATCGTTTTACACGACGAAAAATTACTGCGCTGCTTTACGAGTTTTAGAAAGAACGATGATATACACGCTCGTACACCTAAATCACGACTCGCTCGCATAAATATACCTTTTAGCACAATTAGCATGTCGCTATTTTTGTGCGTTCTTTGCTACAATTTTCGTTATTTTCCTCTTTACATATGGTGCTCCGAGAGAGAAAGAGAGAAACTCTGCGTTGATTATTGCGGCATGTGCGACTATCATATCATGAAACAGATTAAATATACAACGATCCGAGAAGGGCATATTTATAAGATTTTTCTCAACTTTTTTTCTCATTTTTTTTTTTTTTTTTCATTTACCAACAGATGCACACACAGAAGCGCAAAAGTGTGTGCAAAGCAGCAGAAGCAGCAGAGGCAGAAGCAGCAGCACAGCCGCTATTCGCTGCAACTAAGTTAAAACTCTACTGCGAACAATGAGAATAAGAGAGAAACCGAGAGAGCGAGAAAGAGAGAGAGAGAGAGGGAGAAAAGATAATCGATTTTCCGGCTTAAACACGAACGCAAAACCTTTCCTCTTCCTTTCGTACGATTTTCCAGAATAGTCACATCTATACATATATTTCCTCATATATGAGTCGGTGGAAAAAAAGGCGATATGCATAAGCGAGTGATATTTTACGTATATATTCTCGTTTCGTCGATATTATTTCGCGTATTCCCCGGTGGAAATGCTCAACGTTAATATAATGTCTCAATAACGAAAAATTGACCATTGAAAATGGGCTGAATTATATTACCATTAATTGGCTCGTTTTTGGAAAATTTTCTATTAAAATTATGTTACAAATATCGAACGCATTTTAAATGATCTGAAAATGACATATCAGTCCAAAAAAGTAGACCAGTTTTCAACCACTTTAAATACGATAATACAAATTTAATCTTCCACCACTAGATGGCGAGTATCTTCATTTGTAAATCTGCAAGTGACAAAATAAAAATACTTGTATAATTTAAGTGATAGTAGGTTAGTTGTTTGCAGAAAGTAAGCGATTAATTTTTTGATCACAAAAAACATTTTGTCGAATCAAATGAAAAAAATCGAGTAAGTCAATCGAAATATTTTCGAATGAAGTGAATAAACGATCGATTCAATCCCATGGTACTATGATAGAGAAAAACATTACTTCAAAGAGTTATCAAAAAATATTAAGAGATTTGAAAATAAATATGTACGTTTTGTAACCAACGGTACAATGCATGTTTGACTGAATGATATACAGATGACGAACGCGTGCAGTCAGAACGATCAAAATTCAATGTAGTTCTGATTCTTTACCTAGATGGCGTACTTCGCACCTTTAAGTGGTAAAAACAGATTAAATTACTATATAAGAAGCAAAATATTCGCAATCGACACGGTTCTGTATTCGCGGGTTAGCGGGAATCTTAAACCGATAAATAAAGTGTTGTATATTATCCTTTGTACGTTGATGTACAAAAATTGTCTTCTCCCGTCAGACCTTCAGTAACTTTTTAAGCCTCATGAAATTCTTTACATTGTCCATGACCGAGAGATGAAAACTCGCTTATACATTTCGCGACTGTATCCTGCCACGTATAGGGCACAAAAACATAGAGAGACGAAAAATACATACTGGCATCTTTCATGTGTCAACAAACCACAACGACAGGCTACCAGCACGCGTATCGTCGGCGGCATCTGGTGGTTCTTCACCCTGATCATCATCTCCTCGTACACTGCCAATCTTGCCGCCTTCCTCACGGTCGAGCGCATGATCACTCCGATCGAGAACGCGGCCGATCTCGCCGAGCAGACGGACATCCCGTACGGCACCCTCGAGGGCGGCAGCACCATGACCTTCTTCCGCGACTCCAAGATCGCCATCTACCAGAAGATGTGGCGCTTCATGGAGTCCAAGCAGCCCTCGGTCTTCGTGTCGGACTACGAGAAGGGCGTGAAGCGCGTCCTCGAGGGCAATTACGCCTTCCTCATGGAGTCGACCATGCTCGATTACGCCGTGCAGCGGGACTGCAATCTGACGCAGATCGGGGCGCTGCTCGACAGCAAGGGCTACGGCATCGCTACGCCCAAAGGTATATATACGTATAATACATAACGCACTTATATACTCTCGCGCGCTCCTTTTATATATCATATTATATTTAGGATGAAATACGCGCGGCACTAAGAGCTTTTCTTTCTTACTCTATACAGGTTCGCCGTGGCGCGACAAAATATCTCTCGCCATACTGGAGCTGCAGGAAAAGGGTGTGATTCAGATTCTCTACGACAAGTGGTGGAAGAACACCGGGGACGTGTGCAACCGCGACGACAAGAGCAAAGAGAGCAAGGCTAATGCTCTTGGCATCGAAAACATCGGTGAGTATATACAGCGCGCGACGCGAGCGAGCGTGTGGGGCTAGAAAAGAGTACTCTTGCCGTATGTGCGACGGGAAAGAGACGGAATGGATTTCAACGATCTTACTTCTCTCGCTCCAAGTTATAATAATAATAACGATGATAATATTATTATATCGCGCGCGCGGCAGGTAGGAAAACAATAATACGTCGGCATTCTTTTTTTTTCTTCTTCCTACTCGCTCTCTTTCTTCTCTCTTTCTCTATCTCGGGGAGCTGCTAGCACCTCTCTCCTGGCACTCCGCAGCAGCAGCAGTGTGCTTAAATTAAACGAGAGCAAAGAGACACATTAAGTGCGGAAATTATAACTTGGTTATCTTGCCGCGCGCGCGCCTTTCACGTCCCGCAAAAGACCTGACTAACGAGCTATCTTACCCGACGCACATGTATACTCAGGCGATCTCCTTGCTGCTGCATAGCTGCCGCGAGCAAACAGCCGCTGCACTACTACTTCGGTATTAGAATAATAATAATCATCGTCTCTCCGGCGCGCTATACGCTACTACGGACGACGATAAGAAAAATGAAAGAGACGTTATTTTTCACTCGCCTCTTCTTGCTCGTTGAGCGGCGATCGAGCCGTGCAGTAATAAAAAAAAAATAATTTAATTTGTGCGTCGCGGGTATATATATGTTCGATCGATCTCGCTGCAGGATTTTTTTACATCTCGCAGCTTGGACTGATCCGTGTCCTCTTCGTCGACATCAACCGAGTAGACCAAGTACATTTAATTGAAAAAAAAGTCACCATTGTATTCTCGTTCTCACGGAGTTTAAAGGTGAGAGCTATCGCAGAATTATCTTGAGTCGAGCTCCTCTTCTCTCTCTCTCTCAGTGTCGCTGCGTGTAAAAAATCGACCCCGTGTATAGTTTCGATCGCATACGTTGAAAACGATAGGATTAAAACGATTGTTCAAAAATACAAAAGTCGTCTTTTTTTCTAAGCTACTAGCTCGGATGGAAAAAGAGAGCAAAAAGAAGAGAAACGACGACTACGACGACGAGAGAGCGCAAAAAGCATCGAGTATTATAAATCCGGGGCTAGAGCGTAGTAGTAAGGGGATGGGAGGTAAAGACTCGACTTTTAGCCCGAGCGCGTACAGCACAGTATGCGCGCCGCGTTTGATATTGCGCGCACGACTTGGCGTCAATGCGCTTTAGCTGCTGCCGCTGCTCTAGCTCTAGCTCTAGCTCTCCCGCACTCGTATGTATAGTTCTTTTTTCTTTTTTTTTTTGTATAACCTCGCGAGACCGAAGAAGAATCGCACGCAGAATGGGGAAAGGAAAGGAATTTTTTGTCATATACCTCTCCGCGATGTATAATACGATTATTTACATTTAATTATCGCTATATAGAGCTCGAAAAATTCGCGAACGATTCATACACGTACGTACGTAGGTACGATGATGATTTTTCATGCGTTTCACGCGTGCACACAGGTGGAGTATTCGTTGTTCTGCTCTGCGGCCTGGCCTTGGCCATACTCGTGGCGATACTGGAATTCTGCTGGAATTCGAAGAAAAACGCCCAATCGGACCGGGTGAGTATAGTTTTGCAATTGCACTTCTCGTACCTTACCGAATTTTTTTTTCTTTACTTTACATTATACATTATCATATACTATATATTACATAGGAGCTCAGCTTGTGCCGCTTTTTTTGTCTCGCACATACAGCTCTCGCTGCGACAATTTTTATGAAAAAAAATAAAAGAAGCTGCGGTATTATAATTTACGATATACACTAAAAGCCGCGTTCATACATTTATAGCTGTGTCTGTATAAATTTCTAATTCTACTTCATTTATCATATGTGTGTGTAATAATAAAGCATGCTAAAAATATTCTACTGCCGCATCATTTGTCTATACTATATGTTTTGTAAAAAAAATAATATTATCTCTCATTGTGATTGTGCTTTCAATACGACTCACACACTCGAAGCATCGCGAACAATATACATAATTAAATACACACGGATATTTGATGTTGAGTATAAAAAAACTCCGACGTCGACTAACACAGCCAACAATAAAAACTCGAGCTTTCAATAACAAAGCAAAGACCCGATTTATATCGTCTCAATGTGTATAATATATCAGTCGATATGCGCCGAAATGGTGTCGGAGCTGCGCTTCGCCGTGCGCTGCGGCTCGCGCCAGCGGCCCGCCACGAAGTTGCGCTGCTCGTCGCTGACCCAGGGCGACGGTGGAGTCGTCGTCGACGACGGCATAAGCGGCTGCCACATGGCCACCACCTCGACGATGATCGCCGCGGCCTCGACGTCGCAGTGTCGCCGGTGCAGCTCGCAGGCCTCGATGATGTACCAGCGGCGCACCTCGCGCCACTGCAGCGAGCAGTTTCAGGTCGGCAATCATCTGCAGCAGCACGAGCAGGAGACGACCTACGTGCCCGGCCACGAGATACCCTGGTTGAATGGTCAGTATCTCGAGTCACGCGACACGCGTGCATCCTCAGTGCACAATATATTAAAAGAAAAAACCATGCTCACCACGTATATACCACCCAAGACATCATATATTATAGGACTTTTAGAAAAGAATAAAACACGCATCGATTATTCACTATATATTACCCTCTCATCAAGGACGTATTATCGCACGCTTCAAATCCAATTACCTTCACCCAACACCGTTTTATACATCGAATCACGTCGATCGAGTCCGATTAACAGATTGCGACCTCGTTACCTCCACACAGACTCGATCGTTTCAATCATTTTGTGTTATCCCTCTCTCTCTCTCTCTCTCTCTAATTTCTCGAGTGCGGTAAATATTTTAAAGGCGACAAAAACAAATGGTCGAGCACCAAATACCGCGACTGCTGCCGGATAATTCGGTATAATGGCCCGGTCGTTGAGCTTGCAAGCTCTACACACTCGGCTAGGCGATCGAAAGGCGTGCAGCGGGCCAAGCTATGCGGAGAGCAGAGAGAGAGAGAGGGAGAGATAGTCATCGTCGCGCGCATCAAAGTTAACGAGTGCATTTGCTCCTTATACACACCGCCAGATACATACATACATACTCACATGTACGTACCCCACACGCGTACTCGTAGTCACGAAAATTGCGCGCTATATATACGTACGCTGCCTCTGCTGCTGACCAACTTTTCACCTGTGTGCGTTTATGTGCTGTAACCCGTTCTCCTCCCAGTGTACCCGGAACTCCCCCCCACCCACCCCCATCCACTGCACTCTGTGTTCCGCGCGCATAGAGCAATCAGAAGAGTCTAGCGCCGAGACCTCTCGTAGCTTTACGGATAAAAGACGTCTTCATCGTTCTCCGCGTTCTACACCATTTCACATTCACTCACATACGTATATGTATCTATGTATCTAAAGGTGTGTGTATGCTACGCTCATATGTATGTGTGCTCTTGCTGCGGCTTGCGCCGCGCGAGAGAGAGCTTGCGGAGAGCTTGCAGACAAGATGTGTTGATTTATATGCACGTCAGTGTTAGAGATGTGTGTGCGTATATGCATGTATGTGTGTGTACGTGTAGAGGGTGTGTGACATATTCTATGACACACTCTGCGTATGTATTCCCTGTATACACGAATATATGTGTGTTATATGTGTGTGTGTAGTTTGTTTGTCTTGGCTCCGTAACGCATAGCTTCATTCACTCCTCTCTTCTGCATGTTCTGCTGCATGTGGGCGCGATATATGTACACGTTTGCTATAACTTTTCCACATGATCTTAATGGCTTGCCTGAGCGTGTTTCTCTCTCTCTCTCTCTCTCTCTCTTTAGATGTGTGCTTGAGCTTGATGAATTATTCATTAACGATATTGTTGTTTAAACAACTAAGTTCTTTACTTTTGTCGCATACAGATGCTTGCTGCTTTTTTATTTTTTGCTCCATGTTTTCCACAATTTAATACGATTGATATCGGATTATCGACCGGTCATCGCTTCTTTTTTTATAAAAAATTTTTTTGGATTATATTCATTTTTAAAGATCGACTATGTAGCCGTGAGAATTTACAAATTTGAATGATTCATAAGTTATTTTTTCATTCTTTTGTGAATAATCAGCTCGCGTAACGCGCGCGCGCTCTCTTTAAACGATATAAAAAAATTTACATTCAAATTGACGCGATGAAAAAATTTAACTCGACGCACCGAAAGTCATTTAACATTTTTGCTCGGGAAAAAAAATAAAAGTTGCAGCAAAAAAGGTTAATAATAATTAATTAAATGTACTTGAGCGCGTTACATTATTCGTATACGCTGTACGCACGGAAGTTTGATATACGAGTTTTTACTGACGTCAGAATCGAAATTTGAAACTCATTCGAGTTTGATTCGAGTTACATAGTTCGGCGCGTAAAAATTTAACGCAAAAAAAAAAAAATAACGCCGATCTCGCTGATGATGATTGCAGCGGGTAGCTGGTCGTGCGGTACCGATGACGGAGATGAAGAAATCATTGAGCTACGATCAAATGACGGTGGAGCTCAGCACCAACACCAGCAACGAAGGAATCAGCTAGCATCAGCTTCAGCCTCGGCTGGACATGCAGCAGCAGCTGGAGCTGCATCAAATGCAGCTGGAGCTGGAACAGCAGCAGGTCCAGTATCAGGGGCAGCAGCAGCAGCAGGAGCGTCCAACTACGCTGAACCCATTACCCACGCACACGCATCATCATCATCATCACATACACAGCAGCAGCTGCCTACACTCGCACTCCCACATTCACGGTCATTCGCACAAATGCCAGCAGCAGCAGCAACAACAGCTGATAACGCAGCAGCAGCATCAACAACTGAGGCAGAGACAAGCCACTTCCGCCATAGGCTTGGCTCAAGGTACGTATGGGGCAAATTTCTCCTCGCCTCGAGACTGATGAATAATGTCGTTGATTGATCGATCGATCGATTTATCGATGGCTTTTCTCTTTGCAGAAGGTGACCAACCTGAGTGCACGATGTGGAGATACGATTGCGATTTAGCGGCTGATCCGGACGTGATAGTGTCGCCGCCGGCCGTGATGGTTCCACCCGCGCCGCCGCCGCCCACCGCCGCCTCGATCGCGAGTCGCGGCACCTTGAGGCCGATACTCGAGGAGGCTCCGACAGGTGTGCCTCCCCGGGATCATCATCATCGCTATTTACACTCCGTAGCCGCTACGGCGAGGTCGTCGTCCGCTGCTCTCTTGAGCAATAAGGAGTCGTCGTTTTGAAAGTACGTCTACCTGAGCCGCCGCGGGGGGGACCACCTCGTCTACTTCTTCTCGTTCCTGGTCATCGTCGTCGTCGTCGCTCTGCTACTACTGCTACTACTACCACCACACTCATCCCCCTTCTCATCCAGATACACACTCGTCGGACCAAATATTGTTATATCGCCGCTCGCTCGATCATTGATCAGAAAACAAATTATGTATTATATACATGAATTATATATTATATATTATATATTGTACGTACGTATACGGGCTCGTGTATGCAAGAATTATATTATACCTCTCAATTTTTTCACACGAGATATGATAATAAATAGATGACTCTTGCGCAATACGGATAATGTACGAAACCTGTTTTTTCCTCTTTTTTTTTCATCTTCTTCTTTTTCGCTTTCGAACGAAGGTTAAAAATACCAATGTTGAGCAATACATATAACACACATCTCATGATATATATATCACATACACATGCATACACCAACACACATACACTTTCGAGAGCGTGAGATGCTGCAAGGAAGACTGCGAGTGCGTATCGCGCGCCTCGGATACATATATTTCACGCGCGTTGACTCGAAATATACAGATATAACAAAATATATTTATATTTATGCATGAGATAAATAGTTATAAAAAAACATGTATTGTGTAAATATGTCAAATCAGCCTATGTACTATACTCTTCTCGTTGTTCTCGTTGTTGTTACATATGATATCAATTGTTGTTTAAAGTTGTGAAATGATTATCGATTTAAGCTGTTTTACAAGAACAAATCATGCCAATTGTACAAGATTTCGTCAAACGTCGCATTGAATTGTTACTTTTTGAATTTAAGGTGTTTATGAAATCGATATTTGAAAACTGTTCAACTTTATGAATGTCTGTTAATGTATTCAAAATGCTTTTTGTGGTCAAATTCATTAGTACTAATTGAATAATATGAATTAAAATAAAATCTTTAAATGTGACCAGACATTTTTCGAAGTTTTTAAATTACTTAGAGCATGTTGACAAAAATTAAAAGTAACATTAATAGGTAATACATTGAATGAGATTGATTTGTTCTTTTCGAACGTTTGTGTGTAAATAAAATATTAAATAAGAATAGCTATAACGATGCATAAATTTTATTATAAGATACAAAACACATCGAACATGAATTTAAATATCCAATTTACGCATTAAAACAAATATACAAATATAAAAATTATGGAATCATAAAAATTATGCATATATTATCTAAGTTGTAAAAATGTAAATGACAGGTATAATAGTTTATGAAAAAAATTATCACATGAATAAGATCAGATATTAGAACATTTTTTAAAATGTAAAGTTATAATTAAAAATAAAAATCAGATTTTTAAAAAACGAATACCATTCTCTTCTTCACTATTATTGCCACTAGGGTGTTGAATAAAGTTGGTGCCAAATTGTTTTTATGTAAAAAATATTTGTTTCATTTTATTAACAATCTTCATATAGAAATAGAATCACAAGTATAAAATAATTTACAATACAGCTAACACTGCTGGAGACGGTTCAGCACTGACTCGATAAACACATGAAGAAAGTATAATATTTATAAATTGGACGGACGTATAAAAAATTATCTAACTTAAAGACTAAATTTGGACAGCGACAATGTGCACATCACTTAGAAGCGACGTTGTTGCTCGACTGGCTGTGGGTGAGTGCGGATGTACTCGAGGGCGCGAGCGATGGCCTCTGGGATTGGGTGGGCTTTTGGCAGATGGTCGCCCTGGGCTTGGAATCCGTTTTGGTCAGCGGTGTACTGGACTTGGATCACTTGGCCATCGGGGGCGGTGTATTGGTAAGATCCCTGGGTGGCGATGACATTGCCGGTTTCTCCGGGTACGCTGGCGCTGCCTTGTTCCTGGACGTAGATGCCGTTTTCGGTTTCGAAGCTGTGAGAGTAGTGACCCTCTGGGGTGTATTCGGGGTGAGCTTGGCGGAGGATGGCAATTGGGCGTTGCTCCTGGGCGTAGGCGACGGCCGCGAGGGCGAGGACGGCAAGCTGCAAAAACAAATTCATTTAATTATTTTGTCACAAAAAGTAGTTTATAATAAAGATGCAAATGATACTCACGATGAATTTCATGGTGCTTGGGGGTTTCTCGACTGATGTCAATTGATCAGAGGACGAGTGAAATGTGATGATGAGCATGAGAAGCTCGGCCAATTTATATCGAAAATCGTAGGTACCCCACTTTTTTTCGTCGCAGTGCTATTTTGGATTCTCTTCACTTTTCGTATTGGCGACAAAAAAATTTTTCGACGGCTATTTTTCGAAATATTTCTCTGATTAAAGCCTACCTGCGTTCGGCCAGACCGAATGACCTTTCGATTATTTCTTGGATACTAGCGTGTAAAGTATTTACAGGTTTTTGAATTATCGCAAGCGCCGGACTATTCAGATGAGAGCTCGACGTACTATCGAAAGTAAACGGCCTTGTGGTATCGAGCTGCAACTACGATGAGCTTCTTATGTCAATTATTTATTCTATTTAGTTTTGATAATCATGGCAAGTGCTTGTAAATGTGCTGAAAACACTCATTCAATGATCGGTCGTATTTTCTCAAACATATTAACGAGTGAATGAGTTCCTTGATCTCGAACATTAACATGAACGTGAATAGTTGAATGCTTTATGCTAATTGCTTAGTGTGTTGCGTTCGTATAATAAATTAACATAATTTTGCATTAAAATCAAGACACATTATATTTATTCTAACTTTATTCAACTTGGTAGAATTCGTAGAAAAACATTCATTTTATTGTATTATCAAAAAGGGTCGATCTGTTATTTTGCAAAAAAGTATCATTTAGATATGCAGAAACAATAGGTAGCAAATTAATGTTTGGCATTGTTATTACATTTTTTTTCGATTTACTAAATTCATTCGTTCTAAATGGACAATACTTAGCATTGCGAAAATTTGTTTTCAGAGTAGTTTATTTACATCTTTGTTTTCATTCAATTCTCCAAATAGAATTTGTAATGAATGTAATCTCAATTTGTTCGATTAAGTAATAGAAAATCAGTATCTGACTAATGTTATGCTAATATTCGAGATCAAGGAACTCATTCACTCGTTAATATGTTTGAGAAAATACGACCGATCATTGAATGAGTGTTTTCAGCACATTTACAAGCACTTGCCATGATTATCAAAACTAAATAGAATAAATAATTGACATAAGAAGCTCATCGTAGTTGCAGCTCGATACCACAAGGCCGTTTACTTTCGATAGTACGTCGAGCTCTCATCTGAATAGTCCGGCGCTTGCGATAATTCAAAAACCTGTAAATACTTTACACGCTAGTATCCAAGAAATAATCGAAAGGTCATTCGGTCTGGCCGAACGCAGGTAGGCTTTAATCAGAGAAATATTTCGAAAAATAGCCGTCGAAAAATTTTTTTGTCGCCAATACGAAAAGTGAAGAGAATCCAAAATAGCACTGCGACGAAAAAAAGTGGGGTACCTACGATTTTCGATATAAATTGGCCGAGCTTCTCATGCTCATCATCACATTTCACTCGTCCTCTGATCAATTGACATCAGTCGAGAAACCCCCAAGCACCATGAAANAGGGCGTTAAAAAAATCGTAGAGAGGTCCTTTTTTTTTAAATTACTCGTTAAAAAGAGCACTTTGCGATGGTGTATGTTAGATTTCGATAAAAAAATCAGTGTGGTACTGGTACACGTTCAAACAGTCATTTTTTTTCAGTAATTTTTAGGGTCACGCTCAAATACTACTGGTAACTCAACATTAACTAAAATCTTATCTTAATTTATATGGATTTAAAGAGGACAAAATTTCCAAGAAATTAAAAAAAAAGCGTGTCGATACGATAAATCTAGCCCAAGATAGAAGCATTTGAAAATCGACAAAATTTCGATGAATTTTTTTGTTGCGATAATTTTGTTGCCGAGTGTATATAAACTTTACGATCCAGAGAAAGCGGTAAATGAAATTTTTACATAAGGCTTTCTGTGTAATTTTTACTGAAAAATCTGCAAAAGCCAGTGTATTTTGTTTTATTGTATAATTGTTGGCAATCTATTTGAATACAATATTTGAACACAACACTTTTTGAATGATTACAATTTCTACTGAATTTTGCTGCTTTTTACATTTTCATGTGGAGAGCTGTTTATCGAAGAATTGTACGGTTTTTTTTCATATTTTTCAAAAATAAATGCATTTTCAATGCAATGTTTAGTTGCAGATAGCCAAATATGTATGATAAGAATCCGTATTAAGATGGTATAATTCTAGGAATTTTACTCTTGCATAAATCACTCCTTGATGTTGTACCTTAATGCTGTCATCCAGACTTTCAGTTTCTTAAGAGCTTCAATGTTAAGTTTTATATCTCTAGAAACCTGCATCATGAGCTTTGGTGAATTTAAATAAAATTTTATTGTCTGATTAACAAAATCTATTCATACTTCATTTCGAGGATGTTAAGCTGAAGCTCTCAAAAAGTATGCTTATTATTAATACATTTTTGTAATTTATCAATTTCTAATAAATTAATTAAAATGGTGAACTTTCGATTATCTTTTAAAATATAGCTTCTATGAACTTAAAGGTACCTTCACACGCATATACTTGTATGAAATTACAATGTTAGCTACTTGTGAATTTCAGTACATTTAAGTACACGCCACCTGTTGGCAATATATGAAATTTAATACCAACTAATTGCAAGATTCTGGAAAGATCTTTGAATGTTTCGTGGAAATTCTCGTTGAAACCTTTCCAAGCGAGCTTTCCACGAACTTCCATCAGGATGTTCTTCTACTGAAAGCATGATTACATTTTCAATTTCTGATATATAATTATTACCTGTTTTTAATCAATAGACCCTGATTAAATATATTATTCTTCAATGAAACTATTGTTAGATTAATTTACTATATTCAATGAGATTTTTATTGCTCTTTCCAAAACTGGTGTCAGTTATTCTAATATTGGGGGATGGTTTTGTTTTCAAACTCAAAATAAAGAGTTTTATCCTCGATTAAATTAAAGTCAAATGTTCATAGGTCGTTGAACTTTGTCTGTAGACTGGTATCACCAGTACTCTATTGCTCAATCCTTCGACATCTCATTGGAAGTTCGTTTCTGTGCTGTTGTTTTGAATTGTTAAGCTTCTTTTATAATTTCCTTATTATCGTAAGATTTAAAAATTGAAATTTAAAATTATGATTAGAAAAACTAAGGGGTTAAATAATTATTTAAAGAAAAGCAAAGATTTGTTTTTCTAAAAAATCATTCTTTGGAAAGTTTTATTCACAATTGTCAAGTATTTATAAAATTACGAGTATAACACAATGATATGTAGTACCCAAAATGATATTCAATTATTCGACGGGTACAAACAAAGTACAGAACGAAGTTACGTTACAATTCCAAAATTAATTATACGCATTGAACACTAAAAAAGCTCGATATCTGACTTGTAAAGTACTAACTAAAGGTAACGCTAGAAACGCTGCTTAGAAGCGACGCTGGGGAGCGAATCCAAAACCAGTTGGCTGTTGCTTGTACACTGGGGCTTGGAAAGCGGGCTGGGCAGCCTGGAAGGCCGGTTGGGCAGCCTGCTGCTGGACTGGCTGTGGGTGAGTGCGGATGTACTCGAGGGAGCGAGCGATGGCCTCTGGGATTGGGTGGGCTTTTGGCAGATGGTCGCCCTGGGCTTGGAATCCGTTTTGGTCAGCGGTGTACTGGACTTGGATCACTTGGCCATCGGGGGCGGTGTACTGGTAGGAACCCTGGGAAGCGACGACCTTGCCGGTCTCTCCGGGTACGCTGGCGCTGCCCTGTTCTTGCTGGTAGATGCCGTTTTCGGTCTCGAAGCTGTGAGAGTAGTGACCCTCCGGGTGGATTTCTGGGTGAGCTTGGCGGAGGATGGCAATTGGGCGTTGCTCCTGGGCGTAGGCGACGGCCGCGAGGGCGAGGACGGCAAGCTGCAAAAACAAATTCATTTAATTATTTTGTCACAAAAAATATATTATCATTTTAAAACCAAAAGATGAAAATGATACTCACGATGAATTTCATGATGCTTGAGGGTCTCGACTGATGTCAATTGATCAAAGGACGAGTAAACTGTGATGATGAGCTTGGGATGATCTTGCCTTTTTATACCAAAATTTTCGCGGGTACCCCACTTTCGCCTTCAATCGCGACTATTTCGAGTACAACCTCTCTGCTTTTTTTCTTTTTTTTTGTGCAAAACAAGTTTCGGTGGGCGATTTTTTCGAAATATTAAATCTCCGTTGAAAGTGGGGAAGCATCGGCATCTCTGTGCACGAGACTGAAACGAGGTCTTCTGCCGATTATTGACTGTATGTACGGTGTGGGTCCCCAACTGACCTTTCGCTCTGATCCCGTTTATACCCGTATTATATGAATTTTATACAGATTCGTCGATTATCAGAAGAAGCCGCCGCGTTGTATAATCGAAAGTAAATGACCTTCTCGTGTAACACAAGGCATCGTCGTGCATCTTCGACCGGCTTTGTACAGGCTCACGGATGTGTGCAATATATCGCATCATATTTACCTTCGGCTCCAAAGATAATTGAAAAAAAACACATTTGTGTGTGTGTGTGTGTGTGTGTGTGTGTGTGTGTGGGTAACATTGGCCTTTATGCCCTTGCCACGTGTCCTCATTCTGGAATCATCTTACAGGAGTGCCTCAATCGTTACCAGTCCATTTGTAAAATCCGAATACTTTCTCTCAGTCGACTTTGTTCAAATTACAAATAATACAAATTCAGGTTTTCCTCAAATTCAATGATAAAATGTAAAAAAAATTAATGATTAGAACTACCCTTACGTAAATGACGTATTGGAAAAAATCTGAAAACTTTGTAGTAATAGTTTTCTATACTTTACATTTTATTAAAATTTTCAAAAATTATTAAAAAACATTGACGGACGATTCTCAAGTTTTTAAACAATGGATTAATATTTTGCAATGATACGACCATTTAAAACAATTTATTCAAATTACAGCTACTTTTATCATAAAGAGGGGTATGGCATTTTAAAAACAACTAAACACGGCATTCCTTATCTCGCTTGTTAAAAAATAAAAAAACAGGAGTTTCAATTATATACTTTTGCGATTAATTTAATTTTGGTTTTAATTTTATATTTGTTTTCGTAAAAATAAATATAAAATTACAAATCTTATCTTTTTTTTATTTTTAACAAGCGAGATAAGGAATAAAGAATTTTAAGATATCATAAAAAGAAGACGAGTGAATCTATAACTATGCATTAAATTTTTTTATTGTTTTATTTGAATATTTTCGAAAATATTTTCTAAAAAGTTCAGACCAATGGGAAAAAGAATTGAGGTGCATATTGAATTTTCAGCATCGACATTTATTTATTTACTTTTGATATTTGCCATCTTTAAATTGCAATTTCCCTCAAAATGACATTTTTCTAATCGGTGAAAACTGAAACTCAATAAATATCGAGCTTATCCTTTCATTTTTTGTGTATACTTCTTTATTACTCTCTAAAGTAAGTACTGGCATCGAGATACTTCAATTTTACCAAATATTTTTTGTTCATTACAAATCTACCGAGAAGAGTCAATTTTTGATGAGGGACTTAATTTTAGCTATTTTTCAATTTCAACATTTAAAAAAGCAATAAGTGAAAAAACTTGACGTCAATACCTAAGCAATCTGCTAGACTAATGTTGCCATTTTTTAATATCAGGTAAATATTAAAATTTTTGGATGAATTTTCACTCAATTTTCTTGTATGAGAATAAATTTATTACCAGTATATTAGCAATAACATGCTCTAAAAATTAACCATGCCCCCCATAAAACCATATCAAGAAGCGACATTATTTAAAAACGATAACCACAATGAGTCCTTGATATTAACAATCACTTATATTAGTTAACGACAGAATTAAAAATTATGTGAATAGAAGCTCCAAATATTAGGGAACTATCAGGAGTCGTACACATAGTCACAAAATACTACGGTAAATAATCATTCAGTCACTTATATAACTGATTTTTTTTTGAAATTCTAGTAAATCAATAATTTAGTTGCATAAAAATAAAAGTTCGGAAATTACTCTACGCAGAAAATTATGCCAGATAGCATAGAAAAATTTTTAGTAAGTATCAATAAAATACTAAAATTATTGCATTCATTCGATTTTAAATTGGAGCGTTCATTCGATAAAATAGTTTCTTTATAATTTTAAAATTATGAATAAAAGTTTTTATCGAATCGTACAATTTGGGAACGATAAATCATATTTTACATTTTTATAAAATAAATAGCTTATTCGACTGTATTTTACTATTTTTGGATTAAATATTTACTCTAAAGAGCCTAAAGAGTTTTAAGTTTTAAATGATATGAATAATAATCTGGCTATTATAAAAATCGACGCTTGTAACTATTTTTTATGATTAAGTTTCTCGAATCGTGGGAGAACGAATTTTGTTTTCATCAAGATCATTTTTTTGTCGATCAGTTTCGATAAAATATCCTTCATAAATTTTATATTTATAGATGTTGATAATTTTATCAGCATTATTTGATCAAACCAAATTAACCACATAGTAGAAAATGGATTGAAGACTTAAAAATTGAACAAGTTATTAAAAACATTTGTCAGCTGTGTATTACGTTGAATAAAATTAATAGCCAATGTAGACCGGCATGCGTGTCGCGAATCGGCTTTCACTCATAGCAAAAGCCAACATCCATGTACAAAGCGTAAAAATAAAGTTTATTACTTCTTATTCCTTTTCATTGCTCTTACGTAAGATTACTAAAGCTGTTACAAGTAACAAAAGATTGGATTTCGCATGGAATTTAGTCAAGCTTTTCTAAGCTCTATTTAATATAACATATGAATAATTTTCGAAGGCGGACAACTTGTAAAAATCAGGCGCGAGCATAAAGGCCGTTTTTAATTGATCCTCTGGTCGCGATGCCTGCGGGCCGTTGACTTTTTCGATTAGCTGTCTCGTAAATGTATAATTTCGTCGTCTTTTCAAAAGTATTGCTTCATCGGGTTGCTAAATTTATCGAAAATGTATTGTATGCCCAGTGAAATTATTACACCTGGCTGAGATAATTTATTTTTAGATTATTTTTCAGAGATATTACAGATGATTATGTTGCTGAGATACCGAAGCCAATGTGAAAATGAATATTTTCAAATATGATTTTCGACATTTCCATCCACAATGAAAAAATTCATGTAGTTTTTCGAAATATCTTCCGTAAAATACCAAAAAAAGTGATTGGAATTCTTTATTTTAGCTTGTTTTCAGTATCTCCTTGAACTAATTTTTCATTATTTGAAGACGATATTATTCGAGTGTTTAATTACAAACATTTGAATACTTCGGTGATTAATAAAACCAACTTAATGAAGTTCATTTATCTATATTACTTTATTTCCAAATAATATGACAGTGCAGTTTTAAGAATGTTAAATCCAAATTATTCTAAACATTATAGTTAAGATTTAAGGGCTCAAAGTGATCTTAAAAATATATAAGATTATTTCCTTCCAATCTAATCTTCTCCAAAAATTTAAACATGTTAATTCTTTACTGATAATCAGTCGTTTGAGTACATTTTTTGTTGTTGTAGCTTTGCACTGGCAAATTTTCTTCACTTTTATTTTTTATAGTAATCATTTATTCAACTGTATATAATTTGAATCACAGTGCTTAAATTTTGTATACTCCTTTGAGACTGTTCAGGCATAATCATTCTTAAATAATCGTAAAATAATCGGACCCACGTATCATTTTGCACAAACGCACAAATAAAATCAACTATTCGTTTTTCGCGAACGTTGGCAATGGTCTTATACTTGTATTCAGTGATTTATGAGTTCGATAATTTTAAAAAGTGTTTATATCCGGTATTAATGGATGTTCTAACGCGCGAAATATAGACGTACAAATCGTTCACTCTGAAAATGTATAATGTAACAATGATTAATCAGTGAAGAGATACAATTTTTAACAATTGCATAAAAAGATATACAAAGGAATAAATAATATTGTAAAGATTCGAGTAGTTTTTTTTTTTTTTTAATATTTAGTTTGAAAATTGTCATTTTAAATATCTCTTCAAGTCAGAGATATAATTGATTGAAAAATCGATGTGGGTTTAAAAATTCCTCGTTTTTTTATAATCTTTTTTTATACTATTTGAGAGCACAAAAGAAAGTAATATTAACAATAAACTAGACAATCACGCTTGTTGTCTGATCGAAATCAAAATTAGTTTTGTAAGAAATGAAATATTATATTCTGATTGAAAATATTAATTAATAATTCAGCAGCTTAAAAAAATTGTTTCACAAACCGAGAAAGTATCATCTACATCAATCGGATAATATGAAGACATAAGTCGGCTTGCAAAAAAAAAGTGAGAGTGGGGTCACACGTGCTTTAGCGCATTTTTTATTAGCACAGCGTATGCCATTGATACATGATCCATAGCACCATCATCCGTTTCTACTCGATGACTATAAATACTCGGCAAAATGTTGAAAACAGCATCAGTCAGTGACAGTTTGCACTACAGCCAATATCTCACCATGAAATACATCGTGAGTGTCCATACAGTGTCCGCCTCGATACAAATCGTCGCATCTTGTGATATACCAGTGCTTTGAACTAAATCGAAAACCTTTTTCGCAGATCGCCATCGTCGCCCTCGCGGCCGTCGCCTGCGCCCAGCAGCAGCCACCAGTTGCCATCCTCCGCCAGACCAACGACATCTACCCCGATGGCTCCTACGCCTACAGCTACGAGACCGAGAACGGAATCGCCCACCAGGAGCAGGGAGTAGCCAACATCCCCGGCGAGACCGGCTACGTGCCAGCTGTCCAGGGCTCCTACGGTTACACCGCGCCCGACGGCACCCCAATCGTCATCACCTACGTCGCTGACCAAAACGGATTCCAGCCACAAGGCGAACATCTGCCCAAGCCCCACCCAATCCCAGAAGCCATCGCCAGGTCGATCGAGTACAACCTCGCCAATGCCCGCGCTCAGCTAAGAAGGAAGTGAAGCGTCCGACTCGAGAAGTCGACCAAGTAGCCAATTTTTCAAGCCAATGTGTTCGTTAAATAAGTTACCGAGTGCCGCGCTTAGTACAATTTGATATTGCGGCGCTCTTTTGTATGATAGCTTTATATTTTTAATAAAAAAAGTTTTTTAGTAAATATGTTTATTCATGTACAGTTCAACCCATCTTCATTAATACATCGCCGCTGCTTATGAATAAAAACACAGTGAAAAACGCTATGAAAAAAAACCTTTTCGTAAAATGCCATGAAAGAAAAAACACACCTCATTGAAACGCTGAGAAGAAAACCATACCTCGTTTAAACGCCGTGAAGAAAATCACACTTCATCGAAATACCGTGAAGAAAAACACATCTCATCGAAACACGATTTAACGAATCACGTCGAAAATATCTTGGTTTTTCATAGAGGTGTGTTTTTCTTCACGGCATCCGATGAGGTATGTTTTTTTTTTCAAAGTATTTGGTTACGATGAGTTTTTACTCATACGCAGCGGCGACATAACGATATTTAATCTGTTTGTATCTCGCAAATTATTAGCTATCGGTATTGTAATTGCAGTATTAGGTAGCATTCAAAAACTTTACGGTATAGCAAGTACCGTGAAATTATTTGACCGTTTAAGCTGATCTTGAAACATGACACATTACAACACTAAAATATATGTATGTAAAATTTTAAAAATCTGAGCAAGTTTTAGTGAGCACGTGCTTTAAGCGTGGAGCAATTATTGAAGGATGGTGAAGGCATTGAGTCTCGTAGATACTCGACAATTTTTAACGATCTTTAGTCGATTTTTCAAAAAACTTGACTATATGATGGAGGTATAATGACTCTGACGAACACTCATAGAGTTTCAATTTTCAACTATATTTTTAAAATTTTTTAAATTATTAGTATGTTATGTAAACATGATATCACGATAAGCTACTGTAATGTATGCAACAAAATATTTTAAACTAGACTATGTAACAAGCCTTACTGATTAATGCGTGGTTACTTCACACCTACAGAGTAATGAAAAACAATATTTAATTGAGAAATTTCAATCAGTAAGCAAAAACAAGACTCATCAAAAGTATTATTTACTATAAAAAAAACCTTCTACTTCTGAAGACTTTCTATTTAGACTTGTGTAAACATGTTTTGATTTTTTTTATCAACTATACGGAAGATAACAATTTTTTTTTCACTAAAATAAATAGAAACACAACATAATTTTAAAAAAATGATATTTATTATCATCTAAATCTTTACTTCTACCTTATGAAAGATATTTTTACACAGATTTACACGCCACAAGCTATTTGCACACATTTACATACTATAAGCTAACTACGAAAGATTAGCATCAAACTTTCCGATTGCCAACATTAAATTTCTTCTTGAGAAATGGGTTGTCAAAACTGGTGTACTTTTTGTTCCATAACTTCTCAACAAATAAGTATCCGTACAAGTTTTTACGTCTGGATTATGTGACACGTTGGCGTCCTCTACATTTAAATCGTCATATAATTTTGTATAATCCCACACTTTTATAGAACAGTCCAGAGAACCAGACACCAAAAGGGTACCATCTCTGCTGAACGTTAATGAATATACGCCTGCAGTGTGACTACTTAAAGCAGCAACTAAATGACCTTGTGCAAGATCATGGAGTAAAACTCTACCGTCACACCCAGCTGAAGCTAAAACTCTTCCATCCATAGAAAAGGTCAATGCGTAAATTGAATTTTTGTGTCCCGTCATTAATCTAACTTGACCACCAGTAGTACAATCCCACAATCTGACAGTATTATCACTAGATCCAGATGCTATATAATTAGAATTAGGATGGAATTGAACAACATCCACATCAGCATGATGTCCAGCAAATACTCGTAATGGTTGGTGTGAATCAGTAGCCCATAATCTTGCAGTTTTATCATGTGATCCAGTAGCAAAGTAGTATCCATGCGGTGAAAATTTTACTGACCATACAGGAAAAATATGACCTTTGTAACAAACTAAGCAGGTCCACGTATGAAGTGACCATAATCTCACTGTCCCATCCTCAGAGGAAGATAACAGTATGCTTTTATCTGGACTAAATGAGAGACTGTAAGTAGGTCCGCTGTGTCCATACAGAGTACGAACAGTTTCTGCTGTTTTATCATCCATCATTCTAACTAAAACATCGTCAGACTCACACAAAACATCCGCAAGTTGTTCAGCATCTTTCATCTTCTTTAGTTTTTGAGGCACTAAACTCCATACTTTAATGGTTGAATCACTGAAACCTACTGATAGGAGGCTTGAATCTTCAGATACTTCTGCACAAATAGCTGTGTTAACAGAGTTTAACAAAGTGTAGAAACAAATTGACGGCAAAGAATCTGGGCCTAATGTAACTCTTTTAAGAGCTTCTTTCATTGCTTTTCTTTTTTCGATTTTATCAATGTCCCTCAAGTTGGGTAATGGCATCCTTGTCGATGATGGAGCATTAGGATCAGATTTTGTTTTTTTTGAAAAGATATTATCTTTTTTTGTTTTCTTCTTTTTAGGTCTATAATCTCCATCAGTACCAACTTCTTCATCTTCATCTTCGGTAGCAATTGGAACAGGTCCCACATCTTGCTCTTTTAAAAGTCCATAATAAACTTTGGCTTTATTATCTGTTCTTGAAGCTTCTCCAATTAATGAGCCAGCAGTTGCTTCAATTTGAGTTTTACTTCTTGCGACTCCTTCATAGATATCAAAATTTACGTGTGCTGATACAATTTTCATTAATAAATGATTATTTGGTTTTTCTTCTCCCAAAAATCTTTTTAAGATTGATAAAGTATCTCGAGATATCCTTCTGTTGAACTGCTGCGTTCTAATAAAATGATAGAAAATGATATCAGTTAATAATTATTAAGAATATTCCAAATAGTACACAATTGCATAAAGAATTAAAACTTACTTGAATGTGTTAGCTAGTTCATTTTCAGCCAAGTGCTCTCTCTTAGTTATTTGAGACAATTGTTTCAATTCCGTTTGATAATAATCCTCTATTCCTCGACTATGTTTTTCCAATAAGCTTTGAGCTTCTTCAGAGTGATTTTGGTACACCATCTCCAAGTACATGTGTACAAGTACAGGATACAATATTGTTCCCATCTCGTGCTTGTAAATATCCAAAGAACTTTCAACAAACTTTTGTAACTCTGTATAAGCTTTGTCATACCGTGTAGGTTCCCAATCATCTTTGTAAGCTGATAGAACACTCTCAACTTCGGTACTACTGGGTTTAAGCTCTGCTATTTCGGACTCGTCGATATTGGCTTCTTTTCTGAACAATTCAGAAGTTTCCTAATGAAAAATAAGGATAAATTTAGTAAAAACACGAATTTTAAACAACGCCATAAAGTGTGGTTAGAATTTATGTCACTCCAATGTTTTGGCTTTTTTTTACTTACTTTGAAGTTATACTTCCTAAGAAGCTGAAGCATAGCGATCATGGTGCTCTTGTCTTTCTCCATGATGAGGATATCGTCGAGATTCTAACTGCACAAAACGTAAATAAACGGGTTTTGAGTGCCCCAACTAAAGAAGACTGATGTGCCGAAACAACACTCAACAACAACACACACTGGCCGGGCCGCTGGCTAACAGCTATAGTTACGTGGGCTGCCGACAAGAAGCACCGCGTCGCTAGCTGTCAGCGTGGTCGTACTCGTGCCGAGTGACAGACAGAGCGTTGTTTTGTAAATGCGTTGTTTACGAGCACCTCGCACGAACGCCACAGTGAATCTGTGTTGCTACGGAAAGTACACCAATTTTGACAATAACCCATTTTTCAATGGCAATCGGAAAGTTTGATACTAATCTTTCTTAGTTAGCTTATAGTATGTAAATGTGTGCAAATAGCTTGTGGCGTGTAAATCTGTGTAAACATATCTTTAACAAGGTAGAAGTAAAGATTTAGATGATAATAAATATCATTTTCTAAAAATTATGTTGTGTTTCTATTTATTTTAATGAAAAAGAAAACTATTACCTCGTGTATAGTTATAAAAAAAATCAAAACATGTTTAGACAAGTATGATTCTAAATAGAAAGTCTTCAGAAGTAGAAGGTATTTTTTTATGGTAAATAATACTTTTGATGAGTCTTGTTTTTGCTTACTGAGTGAAATTTCTCCTTTGAATATTGTTTTTCATTATTCTGTAGGTGTGAAGTAATCACGCATTAATCAGTAAGGCTTGTTACATAGTCTAGTTTAAAATATTTTGTTGCATACATTACAGTAGCTTATCGTGATATCATGTTTACATAACATACTAATAATTTAAAAAATTTTAAAAATATAGTTGAAAATTGAAACTCTATGAGTGTTCGTCAGAGTCATTATACCTCCATCATATAGTCAAGTTTTTTGAAAAATCGACTAAAGATCGTTAAAAATTGTCGAGTATCTACGAGACTCAATGCCTTCACCATCCTTCAATAATTGCTCCACGCTTAAAGCACGTGCTCACTAAAACTTGCTCAGATTTTTAAAATTTTACATACATATATTTTAGTGTTGTAATGTGTCATGTTGTTTCAAAATCAGCTAAACGGTCCAATAATTTCACGATACTTGCTATACCGTAAAGTTTTTGAATGCTACCTAATATTGCAATTACAATACCGATAGCTAATAATTTGCGAGATACAATCAGATTAAATATCGTTATGTATAAATGAAGATGGGTTGAACTGTACATGAATAAACATATTTACTAAAAAACTTTTTTTATTAAAAATATAAAGCTATCATACAAAAGAGCGCCGCAATGTCAAATTGTACTAAGCGCGGCACTCGGTAACTTATTAAACGCATAAAAGTAAATATAATGATGTGCGTGTACACTAGACCCAATCTAATTCGGTTAGACTGGACAGAATTAGATTGGGCATACCATCCAACCGATCGCCGATCAAAAAAGTAAAATAAGGAAATTGGTATGGATAATCGCAACTTCGCAATCGGTCAGGGGGTTTCGAACTTCGAGAATCAGCAAGCGCATCGCTCGAGCGCGCGCGATATTTTCTATAATAAAAGAATCGTTAAAATCCCACTTTAGACGTGCTTGTCACCGTCACGCTTCGGCTCTCACACACACGCGCGCGCGTACAGTCGATCAAAAAACTCGAGGGGGTGCGGAAACGCACGTAAAAAAATATACCTAATGTATAATGCGAATCGCCGAATAGCAACAGATGACGCGTAAGAAGAGTGAATAGTTGGCGCGCGCCACTGCGTAATATACGTATATTATAAAATGGTTACACGCCCCTCAGGTTCACCAGTAAACCTCTCATTAGCTTTCTGACGTTGGTCGTTCCCGCTGCTCATGCTGCCATGTGGTCACTTTTTGAATTCAATGCGTAGTGTTATTTTTTTTTCAACGATTTCGCGCACTCGCTCCTCCGTACTACATATACAGGCATTTATATGCTAAAAATATTTTTCCCAGAGAGGGGTTGAGGGGATGACTCCTCAAGCAAGACGACAATTGTCGCGGCGCGTGCGACGTTATAACTGCTGCTGCTACGGACTTGTTGCACCCCTCGAGCGTCGCAATATTATACACGTATGAAAAGCTCGTTAAAGCTCGAAGGGGGGCACAGCAGCAGCTAATTATTCATCGTCCGTTGAGGGTCTTATATACGAAGGAGGAAAGAAAGTAAATAGGCGATAGGAATCTTGCGGCGCGGGGGCATAATAATTATAAAAGCTGCGATCTCTCTATATACCTGGATCCAAACTCTCGAACGTCTTTTTATTCTGTATATTTTAGTAGCGAGCCTCACGGGCCTGTGTACTATAACACGGACAGTTGGTGCCTACAGGTCAGGGATGCGTAACGGCACGCGACCGCCGCTGCTGTATGATGCACAATATAAAACGTGTATGTACTGCAGTCGTTGCGTGATGCAGCACGCGCCACATTATCTGCGGCTTTATATTATTATATACGGAAGAAAAAGAAAACATATACGCGTATTGTCATCGCGGGGCATTTTTTTGTGAGAGAGAGATGAACGCAAGACATATATAGCCACACTTCTTTCTTTTTTCTCAAGTTTTTTTTCGTACATAAATACTGTATTTATTGCAAAAAATACGCTCCCTTTATTTTTCATTTCAATTTCTTTGGTTATTTAAGATGCTGAAGCCGGTATAATAATATCAACGTAGAAATTATTACATTCTTTTAAATTACATACATTAAAGTTTACGAGGTGGCACAGTCGTGTCGTCGAGGATGATCGTGTTTTCTTTTTCGCGCGCGCACTCGCGATGCTCTATACATAACACATTAATATTGTCTTTGACTGATAAAAAACGTCACTTAATCAAACTTCTCTCAACACTGCGCGCGCCAGCTCATGAGTATTTTTTTTTGTTTAACGTTACAAACGCGTATTTATAAGAATATAATTTATAGGAACACACACTGATCAGGATATCCCGTTCGAATTAATACGAGTTTGAAAATGTTATAGGCACTGAATTAATGGCAACGATTATGAAATAATTAATGAATAATCCAATTGTCTCGAATCACGTATTCTCGCCGCGATGATGCTGCTCGAGCAGATCGCAGAGGGCCGCTATGTACGTCTGTGCCATCTGCAGAGTCTCGAACTTGCTCAACTTGTGATCGGCGCCAAGGGCCGGCACGACTTTGCGCAGCTTGTCGAACGCGTCGTTGAGGCCGTTCATGCGGCGTCGCTCGCGCGCGTTTGCCGCAAGACGACGACGCTTGAGTACGCTCGGCGAGGGTGGCAGTTCACCACCGGCGGTATTATTTCCACGGGATGAGCGTCGCCTCTTGCGGGAACTCGGCGGCGTCGTGCAAATATTATTGGTGCTGCTGTTGGCGCTGCTGCTGCAGTTGTACTCGGGACCGGAGCAAGATGACTCGTAGAACGTCATCGGCGGCGACCTGTTGCTGCTGTTCGCCGTCGCTGCCGATGATTTCTGGAATTTTTGCGAGATTTTTTTTTGTTGGTGGATTTTTCCAAGTTTAATGAGCTGTGCGAGAATTAAGCGTGTGCACACACTCGGTGTATTGTACCAATATTGTAAAAATCAACGATCTCACTCACGATTGTCGCAATGTTGACTCCTCGTTCCAAATCGTCCCAACCTGTTCCGAGTGGTTGCTGCCGATCGTCGCCGTAGCCGCCGCAGCCTCCGAGCAGAATCATGTCATCCTCGACGTTATTGTTGTTGTTGTTGTTACCGATCGGATCCTGAGGCGGCGTCTCGTAGCATCTGTGCATCAAAGCCGCATGAGCCGACGTCGTCACCCCGTTATAATCCTGCGAGCTCTGATCCTCGTATATCCTGATCTGCGTGTAATCGCTAGAATAGTTGTTGTCGTATCTGTAAAAACGGTAAACTTCTGTAAGTTTTGTATCTTAAATCGATCGCTCACTGCATACCTACCTGTGTTGAGCGTAATCGGTCGTGTTACCGCCGTCCAACAGCAGCAGTGCCGTAGTCGTCGTCGTCGTCGTCGTATCGTTAATAAAATCTCCATGATACTTGGGTGGCGTGTACGGCGGCGACGTGTACATCTGCTGCTGAGGTTGCTGCTGCTGCTGCTGATTATTCGCGAAGACCATCGTCGCGTCGCACTGATGATCGGTATAGGATGAATTTGGACGTTGATGATGCGCCTGGATCAATGCCATGACGATGTGTCGTCGTTGAACGATAGGCGCCGCAGCCACCACCGATCACTACGTTGCATGTGTTGTGTGTGTGCACTTTTCGACGAACCGCGCAAGAATGACTTCTGTGATGTACTCGAACGAGGCGCGTGCCGCCGCCGCTGATGCAGCCACCTCCGCGCGCGCGGGGACTATATTATAGTATGCCCGCGATACACATCGACAATTCTTGTGCCTTCAGGTATATAAGCATAAGCTTTGGAGTGAGTGAGAGAGAGGGAGTCTATATACTCTACAATACATGCCTATAAACATCTGGCGGCTCATCCCTTAAACTCAGTCCGACGTCTATATATGGGCGATTCTATGAAAAAAATCGTATGGCTATTCGAAGCTACGATCGCGATTATAATTCATGTACTTTACGGGGGAAAGGGATATTGAAAATTGTATATAGAAGTCCCAAAAATATCAAAAAATGAAGTAAGAATGGAAATTTCGATAGGTACTTTTTTTATAAGCTATTTCCATGTTGACGGAGACTCTCTTATTTGCTTTAGGACACGGAATGCCTAAAATTCAGAAAAGTGGCATTTAATAGTCGGAACTGAATGTTAAACTATGCTGAGAAAAAACCTCGACTTGGAAAATGCAACTCTCAAAAATTCAAATTTAAAAGATTGATATGCGCAAATAGCACAAACAGTTATAAACCGATTCATAATAGTGAGCCGAGAAACAAAGCTTGCAGAATTTAGCTAAGTTTTAATTAGTCATGTAAACATGTAATTATATACGTTAATTAAGTTGAAATGCTTGAGTGACCCACTGAATCAACGTGAGCTTTAAGACTTATTTTTAGTCTGAAGTTCTTTCCACAAATATTGCATGCATGTATGATATCACTGTGCACCGTACTGATATGGAGATCAGTACGGAGGACGTACGGGTTTGGAGATTAGATTTACTTGATAATGTCTTGCCGCATACATCACATGTGTGGGTGACACCATTGTGCACAGAATCAATATGGATTTTAAGGTACCCTTTTTGAGCAAAAGACTTTCCACAAATATCACATGTATGTTTGATACTATTATGCACTGAATCGGTGTGAACTTTGAGACCTCTTTTGTGTTTGAAGTTTTTTCCACAAATATCACATGCATGTCTAACACCATTATGCACACTTATGTGAGTGACACCATTATGCACCAAATTAATATGACTTTTAACAAACTCTTTTTGAGTAAAAGACTTTCCAAATATCACATGCATGTGTGAAACCTTTGTGCATCTTACTGATATGGATTTGGAGATACAATTTTCTTGATAATGTCTTGCCGCATACATCACATGTGTGGGTGACACCATTATGCACCAAATTAATATGGCTTTTAAGATACTCTTTTTGAGTACAAGACTTTCCACAAATATCACATGTATATTTGATACTTTTGTGCACTGAATCGCTGTGAGCTTCAAGACTTCTTTTTAGTCTGAAGTTCTTACCACAAATATTGCATGCATGTGTGATATCACTGTGCACCGTACTGATATGGATTTGGAGATACAATTTTCTTGATAATGTCTTGCCGCATACATCACATGTGTGGGTGACACCATTGTGCACAGAATTAATATGGATTTTAAGATACCCTTTTTGAGCAAAAGACTTTCCACAAATATCACATGTATGTTTGATACTATTATGCACCGAATCGGTGTGAACTTTGAGACTTCTTTTGCGTTTGAATTTTTTTCTACAAATATCACATGCATGTCTAACACCATTATGCACACTTATGTGGGTGACACCATTATGCACCAAATTAATATGGCCTTTAACAGACTCTTTTTGAGTAAAAGACTTTCCACAAATATCACATGTATATTTGATACAATTATGCGACGAATCGATGTGAGCTTTAAGATTTTTTTTTAGTCTGAAGTTCTTTCCACAAATATCACATGCATGTTTAACACTATTATGCACTGAATCAATATGGGATAGAAGATTACATTTCCTTATGAACGCCTCTTGGCATCTATCACGCATAAATGCGTCACCAATATGGGCCTTATCAATGGGTTTTTTGAGATGACTATTCTGTGCGAATGTCTTTCCAAGCGTTTTGACATGTCTATCCAGATTACCCTTAGTTGATAAATTCTTTCTGTTTATCTCAAATGTGTTGGTTGTAAGCTTTTCAGTAATTCCCCTTTTTTTATTTTTTTCGACAAGTTCACACTCAAAATTAAAATTCGATTCTTCTGCAGCATCACCATCAAATTCCTGATTCACTTAACTCACTAATTCCCCTTTTTTTATTTTTTTCGACAAGTTCACACTCAAAATTAAAATTCGATTCTTCTGCAGCATCACCATCAAATTCCTGATTCACTTTTTCCGCGGATTCTATTTTGATTATGTTTTGAATTTTATAGCCTTTGCTATCTTTTTCACCCAGCAAGTGATATTGAAAGTCATCGTCAATTTTTTTAACTGTTAATAAGTTCTTGTCGGGCTTCACGTCTTCACATTCAACAACTATTTCAACTCCGTCATCAAGTTCACTTTTACGATTCACGTCACATTTTGGAAGCTTACGAGCCTGTTAAAAAATTAAATACAATTTACGTATAATCAGAGTAAGTACAAGTTACGTATAATTGTCAACACTTACTGAATTTCCTGTCGAAAATGGCAAGAGTAGAAAGTTTTCAAGATCAGATTTCTCGTCAATCATTTCACCATAATTTTCCTCGAGAGACACATCGCAAGGCTCCTCCTTCACTCTGTTATAACCCAAATTAGATCAAGTCATAATTTTATAATAACATTGTAATTTAGTTTTTCGAAAAATGAAAATTACCTGATGTCACAATGAAGTGTATTAGTGAATTCCATCTTTCTCACTTTGCATCTCGCAATTAATCTTTTTGAGATGATATTACGTGTATCACACCAGCTACACACTGAAAAACTGGCGAAGATCGCTGCGCTGTGCTCGCTTTGTTTTGAAAAACTGTGATCTCCTCGAAAAGCGCGCTCGTTCAGCTCAGCGGCTCAGCTCAGTCGTTTGTGTTAAACCGCGTTAGTTCGCCAAAACACTGAGCAACACACGGAGTGACGGAGGTCAGGCTATGCCCCGGCGGACGACGTAAACATCGGAATATTAGGACAGCTCTCCTATGTTGTTCGTTAATTTTCCCGCGCAACCTCCAATACGTTTGCGCGCCAATAAATCTTTCCAAATTTCGGTTTTTAGATAGGAAAATCCACTTTTACAGTATTATTACTTGATTTTGATACATTTGAGGTACACCATTCAAGTAAATAAAAATCGATCGCGTGAGGCAAAGAGGCAGTTTTCTTCTCATTACAGGGGTGAATTATAGGTTTTCGATGTTGTCTACCTCAGCTTCGGATTCAGTGTCAAAAAATACATCAATAACGTACATTTGTATGATGGAAAAATATTTCATCGGTAATATTTCATTCAATTTGTACGTTTTTGCACGGTCTATTCCATTTCGGACCGGAAAGCCAATACATTGACGTAAAGTACGTAATGCGGGATTTTTCGTCTTCTTGAACACATAAGTATCTAAGGACAAATAAAAAATTGAGATTTCTGTTGTTCACGCATTTCCCGGCAGCCTTTCTGAGATCTCAATGAACAATTATCAACCTCTACTATATGCGTCGAGTGACGAAAATTTCAACCCAGGTTTATTTTATGGAATCGTTCATATATGCAGCTACATTATAGTGTGTACGCATGCACGCATACATATGCATTCTATCTTCTCTGCACACCTGGTTACATGTATGCTATACTCGCGTGCGTGCTACCGTGTAAAACCTCCCTGCCTACCTACTTATGTTCCGCGCCTTTTCATTCACCGATTCTCTCTCTCTCTCTCTCTCTCTCCGTCGAGTATAGGCCACCGCTACTTCTATATCTATATCGGCCGTATTAACTTCGCTCAGCGATGCTCTTTTTTAACTGTGGCGCGCGACCGACCGACAATAAAACGACTCTGTGATCATACTTAGAGGCCCTGCGTACATGTGAGTCACGCTAACTTTGGAAATCGGCTAATGTGGCCCAGAGCTTCATTGTTCGGATATGCGATTATCTGTGGAACCGAACTCGCAGTGGCATTTTTTACTTCCTTCCTTACTTCCTTACCTTCCTTCCTCTCTCTCTCTCTCTCTCTCTCTCTCTCTCGAGTGAAGTATACGTACATTTGTATGAATAAAAGAGAAAAAGAAGTAAAATTTGTTTGAAGTTTTTAACAAGCTCGCTGCATCAGGTAGCCACTTCCCTCTTGTAGCTTTTGTGAAGATCCGTTTCTCATATATATATGCGTACGTGATTTAGCTCGCGGTCCTCGTTATACTTACATTGAGTGCAATTCCGTTTCTTTTCTGCCTTCGCACTTCGATCGGAACAAAACGATCATGTGCAGTTATAATACGCGGACCTCCAGTGAGAGCTAAGAATCGATAATTTTCTCAACGGTTTAACTAGATCGTCTAACGACAACCAAATTATTACTAGCAAAGTTCAATCGTTCCTTTTAATTTCATAATATTTTATTTTTATAAAAAGTACGCAAGTTATAATTTAAAAAGTACGCCTAGCCAGTAGCTGCAGCATATACAAAATTTAATATGAATTTTGTGTACGTTACGGCGTAAATATACTTTTTAATTTAAATTCATTTATATATTGTCGGATTGCTTATTAAATTCACTTTTTAGAATTTGTAAGTTCGTCTGATCTTCCAACCGCAGCTTCGACGGCATTCATCATCGAGGCCCTGAAAGTATATCGACGTTAATTTCTATCAGAAATCGAGCTGAAATAATTTTTGACTACACACCTGACGCCACCACGCTCCATTTCGTGAATTCCCGTTATAGTAGAACCACCGGGAGAACATACTTCGTCCTTTAACTGTCCAGGATGTTTGCCAGTTTCCAAGACCATCCTGCCGGCACCAACCAACACCTGAGCTGCACATTTATTTGCCAGTGCCCGAGGAACCCCTTTTCTAACTGCTCCATCAGCTAAGGCTTCAATTATCATGTATGCCTATTAGATAAAAATCACTATTATTATTATTTATTAAGTTATGAGTTTAAGTACAAAATTCATTAAAAACATACATATGCTGGACCTGAACCACTAAGACCGCCAACACTGTTCATTAACGATTCTGGAATGTCTTGACATAAACCAAGTATAGAAAATAATAACTTGACTATAATTTCATCTTCTTTACTAGTATTTGAGCAACAATACACAGTAATCCCTTCAGAAACCATCAACGGAGTATTGGGCATAGATCTTATAACTGAAGGATTTTCATTCAGAATTTTCAATTCCTATAGTACAAAAATCATCCATAAACTCTTGGAGAAATTAAAATTTTCTAAATTAAAATTTAGCTTGCTTACCTTAGTTAATACTTCTAGCGTTGTTCCAACTAGCACTGATATAAAAAGTTTTTGAGGGAGTTTATCTTTACCCTGCGGTACACAAGTCTTTAATGCATCTACTAAAATGTGAGGCTTTACAGCTAAAAATATGTATTCACAGTTCTCAATGACGTCAGCATTGTTGAGGGTTGTATGAATATTACTGTCGAATTCTTTCCATTTGTTCAGAGTTTCCTCTGTTCTTGACGAAACCCATATATTTTCAGGATTTACACATTCTATAAATCAAAACAAAGGTTAATGCCAATTATTTGTAAGCGAATTAATGAAAAAGTTGAATAAAAAGTCAGTCCATACTCTTCTTCAACAATCCAAAAGCAATGGCCTGAGCCATATTTCCACCTCCCACGAAACCAATGTTTATTTCCTTCAGTATCTTTGACGGATCTGGCATGGCCAACATCCTCAGATACTTGTCGCTATGCAAACAACGTTGCATTGTGTACTAGATTTTACTAAAAAAACAACTATATAAACTCTCTTGACGCTGGTCAAACTTCGTGCGGTCGTGGACGTAATGCAATATTGTTCAAGTTGACGCTTTGTTATCAATATCGCAGCGGGAGACGCTAACTTGTGGTGTTAATTCGCTGTACGTGTATCGCTCGTCTGTTATTGACAGCAGACAGCAGCAGAAGCCGCCGCCGTGTATCGAGCATGTGCGAGGCGAATCATTATGATTATGAAATTTACTGACTACTAGCTCTAGAGACCCCAAACAAAAGCTAGCAGACGATAAAACGAGATTCGAGCTTGTATTTGTAATTTTCGTAAAGGCAATTCCGTCAAAAAAATCTTCGAAGCTCGGATTTACAAATTCGAATCTTCGACGTCGATTAATAAGTGCGTTACAATGGTCGCGCATGTATACACGTATAAATAATAAAGAGCTCAGCTTTGGCGCAGCAGTGACTCTCATTGACGCAAGATCTGCGCGAGCTGAATGAGCATCGGGACACATCACGCACAGAGAGACTGCGACGAGAGCGAAATTTCTCTCCTCCCCCCTAGATCAAGAACTGGCCTAGAGTCCCTAACCAAAACCCCCAGATAGCAGCAGTAGCAGCAGCCTCCGCGAATTTTAGCGCAGGACTGCAAGCACGGCATATCCCGGGAATGAGCACCGCTTGACGCTGCTGCGTGTCAGCGATGTGCGAAAGTCGATTGTGACTGTGTGTTGACGAAAACGCGCAGCCTAGGCTAGCAGTAGCTATCAAGCGATCGGGGAGCTCGCACACGCGCTGCTGCAGCGTATCTGTAGCTGTGGCTGCTGGGCAGCTATCGCGCGCGCGCGAGACACTCGCTACTCTGTAATAGTGATCGACTGGTGCTGATTTTGTTGTTGTTGATTAATTAACGCGAGTGCGTGCGAGAGAGAAAAAAAAAGTTTTGTGCCCAGATAGACGCTGCAGCTGCAGCGGGGGAGAGTACGTAGGTAGAGAGAGAGAGAGAGAGAGAGAGAGAGAGATAGAGAGTTGGGTCAGCAGGCAGTGGTGCGAAACCAGCAGCGCGCGAAAGAAATAAGCGAGATCCAGTCCGCAACCAGGTCAGTGTACGCCCCCGAGCAACCCCCCTTGCGCGCGCCAGGACACACTCTTGCACGCAGCAGAGCAGAGCAGAGCGAGATATATATACATAACGATATAGATATACGTAAAGGCTATTATGTTCGCTCACCACTCGACACGCTGCTGCTGCTGCGACTCTGCGTTGATTATTACGAGCAGCAGCTCCGTTTGAAGACAAAGGGATACGCGCGCGAGCGAGCGACGACGAAATTTCAATTTCCCATCGCACCACACGATGGCTGCTGATTATTCGGCTGGTAGTGGCATTTAGCTCGCACTTTGACAGCTCGTAGCGTGGCTGTGCTGTGGGCTATGGACCAGAGAACGTCGTCTTGCTGCATGAGTTTGCTCGAGACCAGCAGCGCGTTCGCGAGCGACCCCATGGACATGGCCATCATCGACAAGGTTTGCCAGGAGACTAATTGGCCGTGCGACGACAACAACATCGTCACCTCGTCGACTTTTTCCGATTCCGTCTCCGTCAATAATAATAATAAGAAGCAACTCATCAGCAATAAGCTTCTGTTCCTCACAGTGAGTCGCGCGCTATTTCCTATGCATTGTTGTTATTTTTCATTTTAAAAATTATTGTTTTTGTTTTTTTATTAACGTTTTTTGATTTATTGACGGTTGAATTTTTTTTCCAATTTTTGTCCTGTTTTTCAAATGATAAATCTTAAATAGGTCATCTGTATCTTTAACTAGAGCAAAGCGTTTTTATTGTTGTACATGATTGTTTTTGAGTGTTAATGTCTGTTTCATGAATAATTTTACCTCTAGGTTGAATATATTGATGATCAAGCTAAGGATTTTGGAAAAATTTTCCCGTTCAATGAGGCTCCATTTTTGTCACGAGCTAGTTCACCGCTATCGGATTTTGAACACCGTGTCAGTCCCCATGATCCTAATATGAGTTCAGCAGCTAGATATTCACCAACCCCAGTGCCAATGCCTTCTTCACCATTCAATAATCCAGTTGCTGTCATGCAGGAACCCGCTTCTCCACTTATATCAACATCGGAAGCAGCTGTGAGAATAAACAATGGTTACACTACTCGACTTCCACAAAGCTCCACTTCATCTACCCTATCGCAGAGCGATAATTCTCAGGACTTCACTGACAGTACAAGTGATGGTTTAGTTACAAGTGTTGGAAACGAGCTAATGCTTATTCAAAGTAATAGTTTTTTTTATTTAATCATACTAATTTTATAGTTTCAGTTTTTAATTTATTAAATGTATTTCAGATTCTGGTGCTGAATTGGAAACAACTACCAATCCCCTTATTTTATCAGAAATATCAGGATCTGACTTAGCTCTCACAAGGGATTTCCTAGCAATGCAAGAGGAACAAATTAGTATAATGAATGGAATAAAATTAAACTCTAGTCTTACTTGTGGTCAAGATGCTGAAACAATTTTACCACATGAAATTGATGAAGAAACCAACGCACAAATATCACCAGTGAAAAGTTACAATAAACTCTCTGGGCAGAGAGAGCATAATTATGATTTAGTTAAAAAAGATGTTAATTGGTCCAGAGATCAGATTGATGGAAATAATCTATGTACGTAAATAAAAAAACGAAAAGGGCTTTTTAATTATAAACATTCATTTAATAATTATTTATCTTTAGGGTATGAAGACTGTGATAGTACCTGCACCGATGCAGTTGATTGTAATCTACTCAGCGTATGCACAATCGCCGATCAACCAGTTCCTTCACGCGCAATCGCAACATTGCCAAGTTTGTATTTGTCTATGGAAAAACTCTCACCTCAGGAAAATAAAAGCTCCACAGAATTTGGTATCTTTGCGAAAAAAAGTATTCGTCGGTGCACGCAATTTGGACCGATCGAGGGGATTTTATGTCCGTACGATGGATCCCAAATAGAAGGATTACCATTGCTACTAGAATCAAAAGTCGACGGTGTGTTCAAACGCATCGATGTTACAGATGAAAGTAAGTATCATAATTTTTTCGCAAAGAGCCAGTTTAAATAACACATCGGTTTTTTTCTAGAAACTTCAAATTGGATGCGTTTTGTGAGACCAGCTAAAAATTATGAGGAACAAAATTTGGTGATATGTCAACGCAATGGAGGTATAATATTTTTATCCACTCGAAACATCAATCCAGGTGAAGAATTAAGGGCTGGTCCCAGTGCAGAATATGGAAAACGTCGAAATCTTAAAGTACTGGAAATTCTTCCTAAAAAATTATTAGGTACATATTTGAATTTATATAAATGTTGTAAATTTTGTCATTATATAAAGAAACGTACTGAACTTTTATTGCATTTTTTTAGACAAGAACTCCGATTCTTGTACTCAATCGCATGCAGAAAGTGAAAAGATCGAATTGACAGACATCAAAATAAAGCACGAAATCCACGAGGATCATATGTACGAGACAAAATTACATAGAAAACGGAAAGCTGCTTGTATATCTTTTGAGTTAGTACCAAAACTTTTATAAAAATTATTTAAAGAGCAATTTGTTTAAAATTTTCTATCTTTACAGAAAATACCTTGACTTTGAGGATGATGATGATGATATGAGCTTTATTGATGAAAAATTTTTAAAAAGTGATTGCAAACAGCTATTCAATGGATTTATTAAAGCGCAAAAAGAAGAAAAAGAAAATACCAACTCAGAAAACTCTAAATTCGAATTTATGAAGCAAGAAATTAGCCAATCAGATCAAATTAACGGTGTAGATTCCATAATTGATGAAATCACATCAAGCATCAACCAGTGCACGATCTGCTTGAAAAATTTTACCTCCAAATCAAAGTTTGATCAGCACTGCCTGGCACACAAAATAAAAAATAAAAACGCACACACATGCAATATTTGCTTCAAAACATTTCTGAACAATTCTTCTCTCACCCGACACTTGAAAACCCATCAAAGTAAGCTTTTATTGTAAAAAATTACGTTTGAGCTCATATTTATGACTTTTTTTTTGTGATTTTTAGAAGATAAGCCAACGATTGAATGCCTGGTATGCGAAGAGGCGTTTGGTAGTGTGTTGACATTGAAAGATTTTTCCGAAACTCACCTCAATCAGGATGAAACCTTTACCTGCCCACACTGCCCGAAATCCTTCAATAGTTACGCTCTGACTCGCAAACACGCTAGATCACATCACTTCGATCGGAAGCACGAATGTCAGTTTTGTTTGAAATGTTTCCCCGCTGCTGACAAATTACGAATGCATTTGTTGAAGCATTCCGATCGCAGGTACATTTACTGATTAATCATTTTTTTTATTGACTAATGTAATATAAACTTACATGTAATTTGATATTCTACGCAGGGAGTTTCAATGTGCCAACTGTGGCAAGCAATTCAAACGAAAGGACAAGCTGAAAGATCACGTTACACGCGTGCACTACTCGCCAAAAGTAAGCAAGGACCAAGCATCATCGAATAATCGTGCCAAAAAATCAACTCCAAAAGTAATCGTCGACTCTCAATTTCGAACACGACTTGCGCAGACTCGCAGTACTTAATTTTTACTATTCTTTTGTGCAGACGAACCTCGTGGATTGCGATCGCTTCATTTACAAATGTCGTCGCTGTCAAGTTGGCTTCAAGCGTCGAGGCATGCTAGTCAATCATTTAGCCAAACGTCATCCCGACGTCCCACCCGACTCGGTCCCCGAACTCAGTTTGCCAATTCTTCGACAGACCCGTGATTATTACTGTCAATATTGTGACAAGGTAGGTTCGACGAGTTTTTAAATTAAAAGAGACTCGTCAGACTGTAACCAATCGTCATCTCGTTGATTCGTATAGGTGTACAAAAGTAGCAGCAAACGCAAAGCGCACATTATGAAAAATCATCCGGGCGCAGCTCTACCCCCGAGCAATCGGAACAAGGAATACGATATACCAGGTGTGCCGAATCCAACCTTCAGTCAGGCTGCTGGCAGCATCAAGACTGCTCCCCAGGGTTGCCAATGGTGCCACAAACAGTATGCAAGCAAAGTGAGTAACAATAAAAAATTATCGAACATCAGAGAGAGAATTAAATGTTCACAATGCAAATTTGTTCACAGGCAAAGCTTCTGCAGCATCAACGCAAGAAGCATTCTAGTCTCATGGAGCCCGCCGATCAGATACCCCGCCCGCGAAGCCGTCCACCACAAAATCAAAACCAGCCGCCAACTTCAACAGCTAACAATAACAACAACAATAATAAAAACAACGACAAGAACAACAACGCAAGCAGCAACAGCAACGACTCGATCGTCAAGCCCAGCAACATTTCGACGACGTCGGAGTGCAAGAGCGAGTCGTTGAACGACTCGAGCGGATTGGCGTTTCTGAAGCCGCAGCAGCACGTCGCGCGCGTCAACGGGGTAAGTTCCGATTTAGCCGCGGTGGCCAATGGCCCCGCCAATGGAAATAACAATGGCTTCGAGCTCTTGAATCCGACTCAATTTGTGCGAGTACGCGACATGCGCTGAAAGGTCACATCTGGATAGCGGAGGGCTTCCCGGCTCTCCGCGGCTCTTGTTTTCGTCACTCATTGTCTGCTAACTAATTTTTCTCGCGAGGGAGATATGATTCTTTCCGTTGACCGAGAAAAAATTACAATATCCCTTGTAACAGTGATTTTATTGTCAAAAAAATAAATCGCTGGGGATGAATTTTCTCCGCAAAAGTAACTTTAGCGGGTCAGGCCCTCGGGCCGCGGACACGCGATCAACATCTTGCAGTGTCCGCAGAAAAATAAAATTTTCTTTTTTCCACCCCGTGGTGCATCGCGAGACTGACCATCCATTATCGCAGACACCGCATTTACATGTGAATGGAAAAATTGAATAATTAAACAAACAAAAAAAAAATTATTTCTGTAATAATTGATATTATTATAAAAAAAAAGATGTGATGGTTCGTTCGACAAAAAAATGATTGTACCTGATACTGAACACGAGAGTATATGATATTATATAAATATATAAATATGAATAAAAAACAAAAAAGGGGGAGATTAGCTCTTGGATGTTGAGCATCCTTTGAGCGCCGTGCACCCTGATTTCTCGTCACTCTATATCTTTTTTGTCGTTATACACTCGATATATATAAATAAAAATATATATATTACACATAATTTTTAGAGAAGAAAAAAGCAAATCAGGGTGTCATTGTATCCTATATAAAAGAAAAAATTTTAACGCTGTGCGATAAGTTGAAGCTAGTCTTCGAACTAATGTGTTGCACTCGCACCTATGTTCGCGTACGTAGATATCGCTAATAATATGTGAAAAATTATGACGTATATTACAATATTATATCTCGTGTCGAGTTTCAAAGATTTAAATGATAAATGTTATTAAAACAAAAGAAAATACCTTATAGACTTGTTGAATATGTTCTTGCATATATATGATAAATGTATACGGGAACGAAAGATGTGAAAAGAGATATTTTATCAAAGGGCACGAAGATCACATGCTTGATTGTACATATATAGTTTTGAATTCGGTACATTGAAGCTATTGATAAATTTGATCCGCTTGAATAGTCTCTCTACTTATTTTTGGCACTATTGCAGCTATATACGACATTTTGACAATAGATATCGAATATTTTAGTATAACTGCAGCTTAGAAGCAGGTGTAGCAAATTCGTTTACAAATTGAAAACAGTATGAAATCTCTTTCTTATCTAACTAATATTGTAGCGCACGTCGTCGACTCTAAATGTGATTTATTGAAATAATTGTGTTGTCAGTTTGTGTAATTAAGGGAATCTCCTTCCCACGTATTCGTATAAAGATTATGCAAATCTCTATATATGTGTCGGTTTTGCTGGAAGACGGTAAAGCCCCTTCGAGTCACTATGTGTAATTAGATAACGATGGTATAGTTGCTGTAGTAATCATTAACGTAAATGTGTCGCATTGACTGCGACGAGAATAGAAATTCTCTCTATAGTTTGATTCATTAAATGTGATGGTTTAGTAGTATTATATTGAATTAACTCGCTAATACACGGATCTCTTTTCGGAAAAGCGGACATAACTTAGTGGACAACAACTAAAAAAAAAACTTGATGTGATCGAATCTCTAAGTATAAAAAACAGAAAAATATACGAAAAAAAAAAGAATTAATCTCGTTGTTATTGAAAAAAATCTCTGTGTCGTAGAACGAGTGATTTTTCTCTCTCTCTATTCCTCGCAATAGAAATGACAAACGAAGCAACAACAAAAAAAAAAGAAAATAACATTCAAAACTCGATCGCAAACGCGATCGAACAACTATATGGGATGTAAAAACGACGATTCCTATTTGTCTGTCTGTCAGTGTGGCTGTGTGTGAGTGTAATAAACGTTCAAACGATTCCCAGCAAATGATGGAATAAAATAAAGTATACAAAAGCGAACGTAAGACTTTTTTCCCTATTTATTAATTTCTTTCAACTTATCTCAAAAAAAAAAAAAAAAAACAACAACAACAACGAAATAATACATTTAGGTTTGACACAATATTATATAATTTATATGTGCAGTGAATTACAGACTTAAAGATTAAGGCCTAATTGCTAACAAGCGTAAACGTCAAGAGATAAAACATCTATTATTTTAATTATATAATTATATATCCGTCTTTCGTATGGCATAGTTATATCAAAAATATAATCGATAACTTAGGCGCTATACAATAGGTGGAGGGATTCTTAATCCACGTGTGGTGTTGGGGCAGCGTGCACAGTTAAGAGGGCGAAAAAATTATATTTATTTATCATTACGTATATTATTGTAATGTATAAGTACGATCGCGATAATAATCAGGAACTCTCGAATTTTTCAATCGCTATGGCTAGTGGACCGACGGCTCCAGTCGAGCAACTGTTGTTGCTGCTGCCGTTGTTGCCGCTGTTGCTGCTGCTGTTCAGCATCATGTTGTTGGCGTTGTTGCGGGCCTGCAGCGTCGCCAGATTATTGGCTACGCTATTATTGCTGCTGTTGTTGTTGCTGTTATTGTTGTTCATGGTATTATTATTGTTGGCCTGGGGCGGTGGAGTGGCCGCGGGATAACGATATTGACGATGATGATAGTGATGATGCAGGGCCGGCGGCGACGGCAGGTACTGCATCTGGGCGGTCTCGTACAGCTGCTTCTGCATCACGGCCAGGGAGACCTTGTTCGAGGACAGAAACTCCTTCATGGAGATGAGCTCGCCGGACATGCGTCGAGGCATGCCGTTGTTGTTATTGTTATTATTGTTGTCGTTGGGGCAGTAGGATTGGTCATCCATGCTCGGCCTGATCAGATCGCGCGATATCATCTTCGCGGGTCTGCGCTTGTTGGCGTAATAGATGGCCGATATGGTGGATCTTCGTCGGGGCAGATGGGGCGCGGCCATGAAACGATTCTGACAGCTCAGCTTGCGTATGACGTAGTTGAGGCCCTGCTTGATGACGATCGACGTGACGTTGAGCAGCGAGTAGATGCAGCAGCAGCCCACGACGAGAAACAGAAAGTTGGCGAACCGGTAGAGGTGCACGTAGGGATAGTCGGGCCGCTGGGTGCTGACGTAGTCGCCGAAGCCGATGGTGGCGAAGCTCACGAAGCAGAAGTACAGGGCCTCGAGGTAGGTCCAGCCCTCGAGGGTGGCGTAGAGCGCGGCGGCGCAGCAGGCGACGGCGCACGAGGTCAGCGACAGGTAGAGCATGACCCAGTAGACGCTCGGCTTCCAGTGGTCCAGGCCCGCGTCCTCCTCCTCGTCCTCGTCCTCGTCCTCGTCGAGGATGTCGGGCAGCTGCTGCGCGGGTTTGCCGTTGCTACTGCCATTGCAATTTCCGTCGTTGCCGCTGGGATCGGTATCGGGAATAGAAGGAGGAGGTGGAGGAGGTGGAGGAGAAGGAGGAGGAGGAGGAGTAGGTTGTTTGTTGCCTCTGTGGACGCGGCTGCGCCTGCTGCTGCGGGGTAGGCGGCGCGAACTGGCCAAGGTCGTCTGTCTCAGGCGTCGCTTGAGCCGACGCAAGTGGAGGCTGCGCAGGATCCAGGCGAGAAAGGTGATGATGCGCTCGAGGAAGAGATTGAAGAATAGAATGCCACCTGTACAAAGAAACGTTTATTATTTACTTTTTCTCTCTTAAGGCGAGCTTTTTATTAAGGTGAGCTTTTTCAAGTGCGCGTCGTTAATTATTAAAATTTAATTGTCAACTTTTGATTTGTGCTTCTCGAATTCTATTTCGTGTTTTTTTTTTTCTCGTGTACAATAACGGCGGTGCACGTTTTTGTGTGAGTATTATGTCTATCACAGGTGTACATAGGCAAAAGTTCGACTCGCGAGCTTGTATACACAGCGAGACAGATACACACTAGCCCTTGGCACACATTCGCCAGTCATTAAGTGGCATAAGACCTGTGTGTGTATGTAATTCTGCTGCACATGCATACGTAATAAGCTATAGACCGAATAAAGGCCTATAGCTTTCGAGCTTTCGGCTATGGACAATCTCGTCTTACCGGAGCAGCCGAAAAATCCGTAGAGCACGACGGCGGCTTTGCCAGCTGGGGTCTGCGGCACCGTACTCCCGTATCCTGTAATAAGTAATCGGAGAGAGAGAGAGATTATAAGGTCAAATAATTATGTATTCAAGCTTAAATCGACGTGGCTACTACTACTACTACTACTGCCGGGCACCGATACATTATTAACGAGGCGCAGCAGTAGCAGTTCTATAAGCTCTCGACCGGCAGCGGATAGTAGGTCAAGTTCAACGAACCTATGGTCGAGACGATCGTGCCGACGAAGTGAAAGCTGCCCGGGAAGTCCCAGCGTCGGCGCTTGTTGATGATGCCGCTCGCCGAGGCGTTGCCGTAGACGTAGAGCAGCTCGTGGAGGCGGTGCAGGGCCAGCTGCGAGCTGCCGCGCAGATGGTGACGACGGAACGACTGGTAGACTCGCCAGAATTCTTGGGCCTGCACAAAATTAACGAGGGAAAAGGAAGAGAGGAATCGAAATTTACTAATTGTTATTTCATAATCGTTTTCGTGGACCTTACACGTTTGGCCTGCTTTCGGGGTGCCCTCACAACATCGCGCGAGCGTGTCTATCTATGTGTACTTGCTCCCCCGTACGCTGCCGTCACCTTCGGCAACGCGCGTTTTGTCATTTTAGGGGTTGACCCACTTTTTTATAATAATTAAATGCAAACGCCGGGGTAATTATAAAATATAATAATCAAGTGTTTTATTTATCATAATTTACGATTTTGCCCGCGAGCGTGTCTACTCTACCGAGCGCGCGGGCGATTTCGGATGGTCGAGCGTTACGAGTCGCGAGCGACTCATGCATATTTCGTGTACTTCTAGATCGATTCCCCTTGATCCACATGCTGTGAGCGCGCGATGCCTGTGCGCGACCGTATACTGCGCTCTGGGGCCACGTAACGAATGTTTTTTTTTGGTATAATTATTTAAATCTTTTGCGAGTAGAATTGAAAAATGGAAAATAATAATAATAATAATAATCCGCGTAAGGCGACGAAAAAAATAACAAAATCGGCAACAAACGAAAAACATAGACAAACATACCTGTTTGATCTCGACATCGGACTCGAGTTTCTGAAAGAGAGCGGCCCCGGCGAGCATGTAAGCCGCGAGGACGAAGGCGAGCAGGATGAACCTAGCGTTATCCTCTGCGATGGTTCCCTGCACGCACATCACTTCGGCCCACGGCAACACTCATTTCTCTGGTCTCCACACAGTTCGTTACCTCGAGCCTCCTCGTTCGGCAGCAGCTAAGCTCGAGACTCCTGCCGAATCGACGATGAGAGAGAGAGAGAGAGAGAGAGAGAGAGAGAGAGAGATCGTCCTGACGAGTTTCGGAATATCGACTATTCGGGGAGCGAGGATATATGTGGCGATAATGACCCCTCAGGATAACGGAGCAGGATAGTAATGGGCCCCCATCGAATTCGGAGAGCCGAGAGTCGTGTTCTTTAAACGGATCTCTTTCGACTGCTATATATCACAACATGTGAACGTGTCACACTGCGACGGCTGCGGTGATCGCGACGCGAGTGTTGCGAGCCTCGCGCGTCAAAGCCGATCCCCTGCACGACACACACGTCTATTCGCGATCAGGCGGCGCAAGCTTCAAGTGTGTGTACACAAGCGTCGCGCATCCCTCTCGTCGTCGCATATGCAGCAGCAGCGAGAACCTCGACGGAGGGTAATTTTTTTTTTTTTTTCGTTTGCTAAAGCTGCAAGACCCAAGACCTTTTAAAAGTTCAAGAGCTTTTTCAGGTCGTATAATCGGCGGTAGATTAATACACGCGAAATCTGCTGCGTATCGGTCGACGCACGCACAACACAACACAAGCCTTTCTGGGTCAATTTGGCAGCCACTTAAGTACATGCACACTGGACTCGTGTGTACATGTACTCGTGCAACGTGTACCGACACTACTACCCACATATCGGTTTTGCTTTTCAGCGCACATCGCACATCTTTGAATATCTTTAAAAATAGAGGCAGGTGGCGAGAGAGAGAGAGAGAGAGAGAGAGAGAGAGAGAGAGACGTACAAAAAGAGATAGAGAGAAAAGATTGCAAAGCTCACAGACAGAGCTGGCCAGTTAGTGTGCTAGTGGTAGTGGTAATATGGTCTTGCAAGCTCGACGAGATGAATGGAACTGCGGCCGCATTGACAGAGCTGCTGCTGCTCCAGTGTGTAAACGACAATTAGCCGTGACCTTGAGCCGCTGGGGGAAAAAAAAGGCGCCTCGAGCTAAGAATATCGCCCGGAGAGCGAGCGCTGGTACAAGCGAGATTAGAAATGGAGAAAAAGAGGCATACGCGTGTATGAATATGTAATATCGCGTATTACTCTCTGGGGGAAAGAGTACGTCACGTTTAGCAATGAACGAAATTTTCGGTACAGAGAAAACTCCGAAAGACTCCTGAAGACTGTATATTTTGCCGAATAAATGAAAATGGAATCGCACGAAGGTTTCAACCCTTTTGACAAACTTTAATAAAAAAACTGATACATCAAACGAAATTAATAACAAAATGGACTGGAATAGTATTGCAATTCTAGCCCATGAACGGAACTATCGCAGACAAAGTACGGAGAAATGCTGAAGAAATTGAACGAGGTACGACCGGAATATAATAGACTGAGTTTCAACACGAGCTTGTTATTGTTTTTTTAACGACACGCGTCAATCTGTCTTGAATAGGTCGAGACACCGGTAAAACGTCGACGAGTTTACAGTATCGATATGTTTTGAATGTTGTTGACATATTTTAGTTTTTTTTTTTTTTTTTATCAAAGTTTGTCGAAAGGATTAAAATTTGCACGATTATGTTTTTATTCATTCGACAAAAGTGGGAGGAATAAATGTTGGATTGTGTAAAGGCAACTATTCTTTCGAGGTAGAAATTAATTCACATGCCATATTTGTTACTTTTAAAGCTGGTCTTTAATTTTACTACATTATCAAGAAAGATCTAATTTTATAATATTATGTAAACATATAATTTATATTTTATATATTAAAACTATTGTATTTGTTACACTATTTTGTTTGTCGAATATATTTATATAATTTCTTACCCTATCGAATAGTTTTTATTTTAAATGACTAATTATTTACAAGTTCTTATAGATAAGTATAATAAATATCTCTCGTAGTTGCACTTTACGATCGTGCGCATTAACAGATATTCATACGCTTAAGTATAAATTACGAGTTGCGTAAAATTATTGCACTTGTCGGGGGGGTAAAGGAGGAGTCTCTCTGCAAGACGCCTCAGGGCCTGTTCTGCATGAGCGGCGCCTCCTCGAGCTTCCTCCAGACGACGTTGCACATCTCGCGGACGAGGGCCTTCTCGCCGTCGTGGCCGGCCTCGCGCTCCAGCTGCTCGCGCACCTCCAGCACCTGGAGCGCCCTGACGACGGCCTCGGGTCGCGAGCCCAGATGATAGTCGTCGCTCGTGTTGCTCGTGTTGCTGTTGTTGCTCGTGTTGCGCGTGGGACTGCCGTCCACCCAGTTGTTGGCGTCCTGCATCGGGCCGCCGATGACGCCGTTGACGCCGCTGACGCCACCCGGCCAGCCCTGCACCCTCGCCTGCAGCATGCTCTTGTCCTCCTCCAGCTGTTTGACTTTTTGCTCGAGATGGCGCAGGTACTGCATCGTTTGGTCTGCGAGAATAAGTAACAATTGCGTAATTGTTTCGATTTGTTTTCATAACTCACTCTAGTATACGCAACGAAAATATTTATCTCGACCCATTAAATATTTAGTTAAATTGACTGAATATTCATATTCAATGAAATATTTTATTGACTTAACTGAATATTTAATTTATTCTAAAAAATGTAATAAATGAATTGAACCAAATCATTTTCGTTTAATAGAATTAATCAAGTCAACCGAAAATATCGTTAAATTAACGAAACAATTCATTGAATATGACTACTTGGTAATTGATTTAATAACACCGTTGACAGGTTGTGCCAAATATTTTTTCAGTGCAGTGCGTGTAGAGTACCAACCATTGAATGTGGAATAGACATTCCTCTGCAGTCGATTCATGGCCGGTGTCTGACTCTCGTCGGCGTTGGTGCTCGACGAGGATCCGTCGCCGTCGTCCCTCTGTCCACCGGCTCCATGACCACCTCCGCCGCTACCTCCTCGCTCCTCGTCCAGATATAGGCATAGCTCCTTGAGCTCGAGATTGTCCTTGATGAGCTCCTGCTGCTTGTTGTCGAGCTGCCTGAGCTTGTTCTGATAAGCCGAGACCTCCTGGCGCATGACGCTCGCCGTGTATCGGCCGAAACGCTGCCACTCGCGCGCCAACTTCCGGCCCTTCTGCCGATCGTCGTCGAGGAAGCAGCAGAGGTCGCGCAGCTCTTGATTGTCGTCGCCGAGACGCTGATTCGCCTCCTTCATGGCTCGCAGCTCGTTCACCTGCGCGACACACATTATTACTTAATTCTCTCTTTTACACACAAGCCAGCTATACTCGTATGCAAATTAGGAGATTAGTAGAGATAGATATAATGTATATATGTATGAGCTTACGAGCGACTGTATCTGTCGATGCTGCTCGGCGGCCAATCGCACCATGTCGCTCTCCGTCTTTCGCACGAACTTGAGCATGTCGATGGGGCCGAGGCGCAAAAATTCCTCGTCCGATATCCTCTGCCTCTGACCGGATGAGCTCGACGGCTGCGTTGGGGCCTGAAGTTGAGTAGCGTGTTGCTGATGATGATTGCTGTTGCCCCCGCTGCTGCTGCCATTGGGCAGGCCGACGACGTTTTGCACCTGAGCGATTTGTTGCTGCTGTTGTTGTTGGATGACGACCGATGCTGGTGGTGGTCCTCCAGCTGACTGCTGATTATTATTCGGCTGTGGTATGGCAGTGGGTAGAAAACTCTTGCCGTGCGACGATACCGCTGCCGGTCCTGGAGCGCTCGACAATTTTTCCGACCTGCAACGTATAATATCGTTTATTATTATAGTTAATGGATAGATTTTTTTTATAAGCAGTGTACGCGTCGGTAGCTCACTTCTTTTTCGTGTACTTGAAGCGCAGCATGATCAAGCGAAAACACAACAACGAGCTTCGCCGTCGTCGCTGCTACTGTCGTGTGCCCGAATTCTCCTCCTCGGCGACAAGTGGCACACGCGCGCTCGCGATAGCGAACGTATATAATGTATAATTTTATTTCGGGGCCGAAAGGGCAGCGGTAGTAAGCGATCTCCGATCGTAAGCAAGAGCGCGACGCACATGCACTCTCTTTCTCCTCGGCTCGCGTGTACACAACATATTCGTGTATGCTGTACGCAGAGAGAGACGCGCGACACTATTTGGCACGAACCGTTAAGGAGCAACGCGTATATATATGTACGCGGAAACTGTGCGTGTGCGTGCTCCCGAAAAATATTATACTCTCGAGGCCCGGAGCTTCGGAGAGAGAGAGAGAGAGATTTTACTCCATCAGCTGAGAGTATATTATATGCGTGCGTATAATGCGTTGGAGAGAAAGAGAGCGAGAGATGTGCGTTTGGAGAGGTGGTATGAGCTATATACAGCTAATATCGTGTCGCACAGACTCACCTCGCGGACAGAGCTCCTCCGGCTTGGTTGTTGGCAGCTACGGCAGCAGGTGGCAAATCGCCGAGTTGCTGCTGCTGCTGTAGGTGTTTGTTGTTGTGACTAAACTTGCTCTGCACAGCCTCCTTGACTTGATTGGCGAGGCGCGCGGCCTGCTGCTGATGGATCTGGTGCAGCTGCTGCTGCTGCTGCAGGTGAGTCAGACCGCTCACGGGTACGGGCAGACCCGAGCCCGGGTAGGCCGGATGATGATGGTGATGGTGATGATGATGGGACTTGAGGATGCCGCTACCACCGGAGGAGGAGGAATTGGTCAGCGGCTGAGGCGGTGGTTGGTATCGCGGCGGTACCACCGCGGACGAGCCATGATCCTTTTGATGCTGCTGTTGTTGATGTTGTTGCTGTTGCTGTTGCTGTTGCTGCTTTTGCTTGTTCGACATGGTTATATCGCGCTCGAGTATCGGGATAATATGCTTCAGTAAAGATCGTCCATCCTCCTTATAGACGTGCTAAGGTGCAAACATGCTCATCGGTCCCCGGGGCTAATGGCACACACACACACACACACACTTACGGGCGCACGCGCTTGTATGCGGTGGCTATGTATAATGTACAGTACGTATACGTATGTATAGCCTTGAACTGGGTCGCGCAGCAGCAGCAGCAACACTTCTCGACGCGGTCCTCGCGATCGCGAGAGGAGAGCTGCCTATACAGACATACACGCGCAATGTAATGACTCGTCGGTGATCGCTGCTGCGACCCGCGAATGCGAATTTCGAAATCAGAAAGTGTGTATTATATCTATATGCTGTTTGCTCTGCTGCTGCTGCTGGGCTGCTTTATACTTAGAGAAAAGCTTTCGACTTTCTCTACGAATCGATCGCCTCGAGCGCAGCTTGTGTTCCGCGTTTCTGCGATATCCGCAAGTTTTTCCTTATTACTACGAGTAAGCACACGAGAGACGCACATACACACGCGATCGGCACTATTTCGTTGCACAGCGTGTTATACACCGCACCGAAAAACTGCACACACACGCACACACAGATCACTGCGAACGTATTATAATAACACAACGATCGGCCGACGATTCGCGAGGCTCGTTGACACTTTGCGCCGCGGAGCTCGCGGAGCTCCGTATGTATAAGCGCAGCACTCCACGCTCACTCCCACACACACAGGTATATAAACCGTCGGAATGTCGCGCGAGTTCACGCGCTGCCCGCGAGTATATACACAGAGAGAGATAAGGATGGCAACGAGGCGGCGGCGGCGGTGTGGGGCCCCGTGTGCGTGCTTATAAACTTATATGACAAAGTTTGCGCGTCGAAGATTATAATATACGCATTGCAAGCAGGAATCACTGCGCCGCATATACACAGCGAATATGTGAGTGCGCGTGCCGTAAGACTACTACTACTATACTACTCTCTGCGCGCAAATTGTATATAGTGTAGAGATATAATACGACGGCGCTCGCGGTGAGAAAAACGCTGCGTACACCTATACACCCATTGTGTGTGTGTGCATGCAGAATATATACACACAACGCAAAGAGCACACACATACAGAAGGAAGGAGAGAGAGAGAAGCTATATAGCTGCAGTGTGTATGGAGGTGGAGGCGAGAGAATAAAAGGTATATACGAGAGAGGAGAGATGGAGACTCGAGCTGCTATACACACACATACATACAAAGAGTATATAGGCACTCTCACAGTCTCAACCGATCTCTCAGGTATACCGAGGGGCAACTCCGCAACTCTATACATAGCCATATCTCTCTCGCTGCTTCTCTTTCGCTCTCTTATATATACCTGCGCGCTGACTCGATACATGTATTATACCTAAAACCTCTTGACTCCTCGCTTCGTGCCGTGCCGTACGCCGCGTACGGGATCGCTTATTCTGCATCATACACACACACACACACACACATACACACACAAGTGAGAGAGATGGAGGCTTGCGTGCCCTCTCGGCGCTTCGAGAGACAGGAAATTCGTGTGTGCCCCCGCCGATTGTTTAGCGCAGCATGTGCGTGCGAAAAAACCAACAACACGGCAGCTCCAACGAGGAAAAGCAAAAATGAGAATCGCGCCGTATTAACCGCGGGTATGCGTAGCTCCCTTTGTCGGAGTGCACGGATACATAATATATACCTGTATAATGTATAACGATCATGGGAGCTGCTGGCCCCGCGCAGGATCACAACGTGTATACATACCGATCTTTGTAACAGAGTGCGAACCTGCCGATGAATTCGTGTGCGCTGCTCGCCCGAGTCACGTCTTATATTATCTAAAAACGCAACTTCGACCAGATGATCGTCTATCTCGATATAGCGAGCATTTTTCTTTTTTTTAAATTTCTCCTCGTTCATGGATTGAGGTCTATATACACACCCTTATTTTTAATTACAAAGTTTGCGTTAATTTTTATATCATATAATATGTAGATTGCGTCCCTATGTAGGGAGCGAAAAACTGGAAAACCTCGGAGCATAAGTAATTATGGGTCGAGGGTAATTATGAATTATAATTCAAACAAATTAATGAATTCAATATTTTTTTAGATTTATTTATTTGATTAATATAAAAAATTTACAATATTAAATGATATTCAACATTCAAAAATACGTAAAACTGCAAACACGCCACAAAGCACTATCTTGTTCGCTCCTTTTATAAATATTATAACGAGACTAATACAGAACATTCATTATTTTCACTATTAATGTTGTAGCCTTTTTGGAGCTTTTTTAGCTCTCACGGGTCTTTTGTTAGCAGTAGTTGTTACATTTGTCGCTACACTTTTTTTCCGTTGGGCTTGCGTTTTGTACGCATAGCCGCCGCCTGGCAAATATTAAACAAATCTTTATTGCTCAGATCGTCGATAATCATTTCGCAGCAGAGAATCGGCAATCGATTGTGTATCAGCTCCATAAAAGGCTCCAGGGCCCACTGCTTGAAAAATCCTCTCGATAGGTGTTCGCACAGATTCGCGGCACAAGTCTCCCTGTCGCGTAAGGAAATACTCCCGTAGCTCGTCCATCTCCTCAAGCTTCTGAAGTCCTCGAATGTGACCAGTCGTAGCGCCTCTTTGGATCGTAACTGGATCAAGTCGTAGAGCGAGAGATTCTCGCGAATCATTGCATTTTTGTGCCAAGGTCGAACGACATCTGTTGTCATTGGAAACAATTTGCGTCGAGCGAAAAATTTCATGACCGTTAGAGCGTCGTGGCGGCTATATTCGTATCCCCTTTTCTCGAGACTAGCGATCGTAATGCTAAACGCCTCATTAAATTTATCTCCGTTATACAGACTAGCTTTTCTTTTCCGCAAGTAAAGTGCAGTTGGGAAAACGAACTTGGACAGCGCCACGATCCAAGAGTACATCAACCATAGTTGTATAAAGATACGCCACGACCCATTGTTGTGGTGTACGACCGAGTTTGTCCCGAGGATCGACCTGCACCGTCAGCCCGATGTCGTCATTGATTTTAAAGAATTCCTCCAACGAACCACCATCCATGTTTAACATTAAAGGGCCCTTTTTACAACACAATTATACCAAGAAATTTTAAAATTACTTTTGCGCATTATGAACGGGGATCGCCAGACGTGAGTTTCGGAACGTTAAATATGCTTATTAAACACGTGTAACATAAAAGGGCCCATCTTACAACATAATTATATCAAGAAATTTTAAAATTACTTTCGCGCATTATGAACGGGGATCGCCAGACGTGAGTTTCGGAACTCTGACGTCCGGCGCCACCAGTACTTTTCGCCATAGAGTGCGAGCGTAGAGTTCGCCTCAAACCAACGCTGGTTATAAGTCGCACATTCTGGTACCGCGGAGTTAGGTTAGCGCACTTAAACGTGAAGTTAAGACACGCAGTGCTATAAGGTTATAACCCATACATCGAGAGAATTATATGGTGATTCTGCTATAGGTTACGTTCGTCTACAAAGTGTGAAACCACAGTTTCCTTCGGCTTTCATCATTGTTTGGCAACCAAAAACAACTTATCTGGTGCTTTATTACTATTATTCTCACAATTAAGTATATGTTAGATGTTAGATGCATCAACTCATGTGTTATTGTATACCTATACTAGACGTTTCAAACGTGCTTCGCGCGCGTCAATTTTTTCATTTGTTTTGAGTTGAGGTTACTAACTGTACTAACTGTCAACAGACCAATCAAGATTCAAGAGGGCGTTTCGTGCTTCTCGATTTGTCCCTATTTTGTCGAATGCCAACTGTTTTAGATGAGATCTTGGAAAATGTTGTAAAATGTAAAAATTCACCAAACAATCAAATAACCAAAAAGAAAAGAAAAGTACATAGAGGTAGAAATCTCAGACAAAATTACCGTCTTTCTCCTTTCTTCCACCTTAAATGTAATTCAGCCATGTAGCTGCTTGAGACGTTGTATATGTAGAGGTTTTTTACATGAATAAGTGAAGGGCCTCGTGGGTAAGTGGTTATGACGCTCGAGTTTCTATTTGGTTCTGGCCAGACATATAGAGATTCGGGTTTCAACTCCCACTCACGGGGCCCGCTGGCGTTCGTCGTTGGATCATCGTAGTCCTCAGAAAAAATATAGATCGAAAATGGACGTTTATACCGGAAGTGGGGGGTAGGAGGGGGGAGGGGGTCTAAAAATTTTTTTTTAGGACCTTTTTACCATGTACTATAACATACCAAAAGCGCGTCAAGATCGGTGACATACGTGCGCACGGTTTTGTAAAAAAGTATTATTTTGACCCATTAGTATGTGCTTTAAGATTATTTCCATATAAAAATGAACGATTTTATCCCGAAAAACGACATTATAAAAAATTGAAAAATCGAAAAACATAATCGTTTCTTCAAGAAAATGGCCGAGTATAATCAGTGATTATTAATTACTCATGAAAAAAATTACATTTGATTATCTGATAGATTTTTTTCTCACCTTTCCAACGCCGTTTACCGATTTAAAAAATTCGCAAGATTCGCTGAACGCAATTTTTGTACGATATGTTTTTTCAGCTTAAAATTCAATAATTCTGAGCTAACTACTTTCATCGAAAAACAAGCTTTTTTGTTAATTTGCCGCTCGCCTTTTATACACGAAATCTCGCTGAACGCACCTCATAACGCAGCTATGATTTTTCACGAATATACTCCGTGAGTCACTCACGGAGCTGTTCCTACGTGATTCTGGTAGCCAATACGTGAAAGTGGGGGGGATCGTTCGTGAATGTGTGTGGTATCCGCGCCGTGTCGTTTCACGGCGCTGGGGCTAGAAAGGTCTGTGGAGGCACCTTTGTGCGCATGTGCAGCCTGCATTCGTGTGTAACTTTCTCCATGTCAAAATACACGTAACGGTCGTTTGATTAGGTAAAAATTAGAAAGCCTAAATACAGAGAAAAAGGGGCAACGCCTGGACTTCGTTGTGCATTATTGCTATTATTGCCGCTTACGTCTGCACATACACGAGCGACCCTTACTACGCTGGATTTAAGATTTTCTCTCATTGCTGTACACAGTTCGAATTACTTGTGTCTCTCATACACTGAAAAAATTTTGTACTGAATTAGTGTTCACTGTGGTCTTTTATTGATATCACACTATAGTGTCTTAACTTTATATTCAACAGTTAACTTGTAGAAAGTTCACGGCAACGGTGACAGGAATTTAGGTTCACGGTGAACGCGATTATCAAGCACTTCATGTTGTCGGGGCGATTGGACTATATTAGACTATAACTTGTAAAAAGTTCATGACGATGGTGACAGGGATTCAGGTTCACGGTGGACGCGATTAGAAAGCACTTTTTGTTGTCGATTCGACGATTGAACTATATTTAAGTAAAATCTTACGTAAACGAGCCTATTTTCTTTATATGTTCGAATAATATTGTAAAAATATTATTTACAAAGATAACAAAAATATCGCTTATAAGTTATGCCTAGTAACAACATAATTCCTATTACCTAGTTCAACAAATAACAATGGTGAAGTTTTGGGTAGTGATTGAACCTTTACATAAGTGTGGCGATTTGTTTCAATGACTTCATAAGCATGAATATGTGTATCAAATGATACAGTTTCTAATAAGTTTACACGGAAAAAAATTAATTTATCCGTTTTGTATACATATATGTTATAGCCAGCCAGCTAATAAATAGTGCCATGCGTAGCGGTAATCGATTTCGAGCGTTGGCTTTACGGTGGTTCTGACATGTGCATTGTCGATATCGCAATTTACCGTCACGCGTGAAGCTAAATTCTTGTCACAGTGACAAATGATTCCCTTCAAAATATTAGTATACTGTTTTGAGTTCACTGTGTCATAAATAGTTGTTCATTTGATGAATATAAGATGTATTCACGCTGTAGAGCTCTATTATTCAGTGCAAAATTTTTTCAGTGTAGCTTACAGCTAAGTCCGCGAGTGCGAGAGAGAAACACGCACGAACACGCACAGCGCGAGCCACAATCACATTTTGGAATGATAAAGATTAGGATTTATGAATATTCGGAATGTTTGAAAATCGGA